ATGAAGTAAGGAAAGATGGTGCAGGGAAGGGGGAGAAGTGCCATGCTTTGTGCTAAGCACCAGAAAAATATTATCTCATTTGATCTTCAAACAACCCTGGGAGGTGAGTGCTATTATTATTCATAATATTTGATATCATTAATAATATTAATAATAATTAATATTATGTATAGTTGAGGAAACTGAGGCAGACAGCCATTAAGTGACCTGCCCAGGGTGGCATAGCTAGAAAATATCTGAGGCTGGATTTGAACTCAGGTCTTCCTGACTCCAGTTCCAGCACAGTGGACACACTAGATGCTAAACCCAGCATCACTTTAGAGGGATTGTAGATTTAGAAACGAAAGAGACCATAGAGGCCATTTAGTTCAGTCCCTTCCTCTTATAATTGAAGAAGTCAAGACCCAGAGAGGTTAAGGAACTTGACAAGGCCGCATAGCTAATGATCAACAGAGGCGACATTCAAACTCGGGTTCTGTGGCTTCAATTTCAGCAGACTTACCACTGCCCCAAGCTGCTTGTTTGTCAGCATATATAAGTGGACACTGCTTTGTCAAGAGCCAGTCATGCCACACGAAGTTCATTCCTTTTTTTTTTTTTTAAACAAGGTTACTAGACAGGCAGATGGGAATACAACAGACCTGGCATACACACATTTCAGTGAGGTTTGCAAAAAGTCAGAGCAATCCAGCTTTCTCTTCTCCTCCAGCCTATGCTTCTCTGTACCTGGAAACCAGGGACCATTCTGAAGGTCACTCACTGCCTGCCCCACACAGATTCTACAAGGACAGGATGAAATCAGCAGCCAGAAGCCAGAGATTTCAGGGAGATGTGGAGCTGGGAACAAAGACCTCTCCTCACATGGAAAAAAACCAAACCCTCCAAAGCTTTCCAGAGCACCCCAAGGTGAGCAGATGCACTGATGCTTGACCTAGCTGTGCGACGGGGTGGAGGAGTGGGGTGTCTGCCTCCTGGAGGAGCAGCCTTCCTGGCTTCCTGTAGCTTAGGGGAGAAAGTAAAGAAGGGCGTGCTGTTCACTCCCAAAGCAGCCTGAGGTCTGGATTGCAGCAGATGGAAGTCCTAGGCTATAGCAAGGCTCCCCTGTTCTCAGGAACCTTCCTTGTCTTGGGAGTAAGGTCCACAGGGAAAGAATTCCTAATTATTGATTTTAAAAGCAGGAGCAAAGAAAGGAACAGGACTCAAATGCACAAAAAATAAGATTCTGGGTTTTTTTTGCACTGGAAATTAAGGAAGTGTCCATCAGTTGACAAATGGCCAAACAAAGTACGGTACATGAATATAATGGAACACTATTAAAACAACTGGTGGTGCTGGAGCTGGAGTCAGAAAGAACTGAGTTCAAATCCAGCCTCAGACACTTACCAGCTGTGTGACCCTGGACAAATTACCTTAGCCTTTGTTTGCCTCAGTTTCCTCAAATATAAAGCGCAGATAACAGCACCTACCTCGCAGGGCTGTCGTGAGGATCGAATGAGGTAATATTTATAAAGTGCTTCACACAGTTCCTGGCGCATAGCAGGCACTCTATAAGTTCCTACTCCCTTGCCTTCGCCATCATGGGCTGCTAGAAAGGATGGAAAAGTCTGATTTGTACAAACTGATGCGGCACGAGCAGAACAGTGTATACGATAACATCATCCCTGCAAAAACTTAATGCTTTTGAAAGGCTTCAAGAGAGTCTGAAAAATGCAGGGATGGTGGAGAACTAGTGGTGAAGGATGCTATCCCTTTCAGGACAAAGAGATGATAGGTTACATGAGGCACATGTTTTCGGACATGGCCAATGTGGGAATTTGTTTTGTTTGACCACGCTGATTTGCCTAAAGGGTTTCCCCTCACCCTTCCCCAGTTGGAGGAAAAAAAATCAAAATTTTAAAAGTGGAAGCAATCAGTGGTTGAACATTACAAGAAAGCAGACCAGCTTAACGAAAGGAAAACATTTCCTAACCATTAGAGATGTCCAAAAATGGGGTGAAAGGGGGTGAGTTCCAAGTCACATAGGGTCTTCCAACGAAGGTGAGGCTAGCCTTCAAGGAAGGCCTTCCTGTTGATGATTGAACTGAGTACCCTCTGAGGTCCTTGCCCTCATATTCATATTCTATCAAAAAAAAAAAGACACTTTTCTCCTGGTGGAAAAGTGGGGTAGAAGTGGCTGCAGAGGAAGGTACTATTTCCTTCACCATGTGGCTCCTCTCTCCCAAATCCTGGGAGCAACGATCTGCCTTAGGACTAGAGAAAGATTTGCTTTTACACTGAGATTCCGAGTCATATACTCCTGGGTGGCATGTATGTGTAGGCTCCATTTGTAAGCACATTTGCAGCTTCTGTCCAGTACTGAGGACTTTCCTTTGTGTTAGTATTTAGTCTAGGAGATGATCAGCCCACTCTCTGGCTGGCCACTGGCTTTTCAGTCCAACCAGCTGCTGGGTTCTGTCTTTCCAGGTTTACGAGGAGTTTAGCATCCAAAGTGGCACAGCATACCTCGGCAGACTTATATTAAAAATGCCCTTTAAAATTCCAAAGCTTTGAACTAAAGAAATACCTCAAGAAGTTTTCATGGAAAGTTCAGACCCACCAGTTCAATTCACTACACTTAGATGAACCTTTTCAAATAATGGGAAAAAAATGTAAAGGGTCAGCGCCAATCAATACACATGTTCAAACAGAATTCCGGGGACTGTGATGTACGTGCATTTTGTATTTTTCCTTTGTACCGCGCCCCTCTGAAGAAAGGTTTCTTTTGCTAGGAGAGCAATGAGAATGTTAGCCTTTTGAGTAGAGCCAGCTAGCCAATGGTGATGTTTACCAGGTGGAAAGGATATTACCATTTTTCATGTCTTTTTCCCCCGTACGTGGCTTTGTTCTTTTTATAACCATGAACAACTCACCCAGGCAAATTCTTTCACACACCCGAGACATTAGACATTAATCAGAAGCAGAGGGACCAGAGTATTTGACTTCCAAGTCTCAGGAAATTTGGTATGAGGATTAGAAGGATAACCTTTACTCGTCAGGAACCCAGGAAGGAACAGTTAATCCTCCCAAGCCTGGCATGTTACAGGGGCTTGGTGAGTTATCATGAGGGCCAAGGAAAAGAGACAGACAGATCACTTTTTAACTGGTCCTTCTTGGCTTAGCCAGAGGACTGGACTCCACTCCTCAGATGACCAGGTCAAGGGGGTGCTGGGACTCTTAACCTGCGGCCTCATTAGCTCAGCAAAACTCTATGCAACATCTAGGAAGGACGAGTCTGTAATCCCTGAGAAGCCCAACAAACAGATTTCCAAAGCCAGGCAGCCCTAGGACATGAGCTAATATATGGTTACTCACTGTCTGACAAGACAGCAAATAGAAGAAAGAGAGATTACTATGGAAAGCAGGTGATATATTTGGAATATGTGTGTAACATAACCTCAGCATTTGATAATGAATGCCCATTATGAATTTGAGAAACTCTGTATTTCAATAGTGCTGGATAGAAGATTAGGCAAAGCTATTAATTTTTCATTTGAGGTCTTTACTTCTGGTTACTAATTAAATTAGCTATGTACTGTCATTCCAGATCTTTGCCTCACAAAGAACCAAACTTAAGCTCCTATCATCACCCAGGCAGTGACTATTACCAATTCATTGACTGGAGCCATATTTTCACAACTGTCATCGGTTGGAATCTTTGTTTTTACCTGAGGTTTCTTTAGGTTGATTACAGTTTTCACTAATTGGTAAGATGCAGCACCCTTGATTTTCTCAGTAGGCATGAGTTGCTAGCTTTCATTTTCTTGCCAAAAACCCAATCTCATCTGGATTTTCATAGAATGACAGTGGTCAGGAAGATATAATCATGCTTAAATTAACAAATGATTAATTAGCCTTCCTAACAGTTGTAAACAAGAATGCATTTGCTAACAGCAGACCCCTGATAATGGCCATTGGCTCAAAGAGAATTTTGAGGCTCACCCTAAAAATACACACACACACACACATACACATACATACACACACGTGTGTATGTATGTGTGTGTATAATATATCCTCATATACATACATACACTTTCCATGGGGCAGAGTCAAATCACTGAACTGAGTCTGTTAATTGGCTAAAGTGAGGACAATAATTCACATGAGTATAGAGACCATTGGTTTGTATCTAATGAGTTGCCAGCAGAGGGCTCAAGAACATTAGAAATACTAACAGTGGCAGTGAAAAGTGTGGTTTGGGGTGTGGTTTTTATTTTTTGAGGTCATTCATCTCCCCAGTTTCTTCTTTAAAACTTGCTTTACAGAGAGACATCACCAAGAGCTATTGGAAGCCAGTCTTACTTCAATTTTTTTTCCAGTCTTGGCTCAGACAGCAGCATCCAGAGTTTGTTAAACACCTTGGAATCTAATTTCCCCACTTTAAATAGTTGGAAAGTCACTCTGAAGCATTGGTGTTAATCCTGGGAAAGATCCTCCTTTAACATTTCATGACACCTTGCTACTGAATCAGCATTCGGGGAATGCAAACAAATAATTTTTTTTAAAGGGCATTACTTGAGACTGAACGGGATTCTTGTTTTCTTTTGTTGGGGTCTAAGTCATAAGCTAAAGCCGCTCGATATGACTCCAGTCTTCAGTGTTGTTAGGCTTGGGAGCTGCGTCCCTGAAATGGGCGTCCGGGATTGGGTCTGGAGTGAAACCCGCTTCCTCTTTGTTTCCCACCCAGCTAAAAAGAACCTGTCTTCAGAATGGCTCAACAGCTGCAGAATGACCAGTTGAATCCTGGAAACATATGGGTTTTTCCTCCCCTCCCCTCCCCCCCCCCACAATTTCTTATTAAACCAAATATCAAGAAATTTCTAGGAGTGAGGGGTGCTCTCCAAGGCTGAGTCAAAGCATATGGGAGACACACACGACCCAGGGCTGCCAGAGCAGATTTCAAAATATGTGGAAAAATCCATTAACAGCCATTTACCAGATTCCCAGAAAGAGCCAGGAAATGTGTCTGGTTAATATTTTAATCTGTACATATCTTTTTTTTTCAAATCATTACACTTTTATTTAAATTAACTTTTTCTTGCAAAATATTCATTTCCTTCTTTTTCTGACAAAATTTTGTATAAAGGCAAAAATAAAACCATTTCATTTTGGCAAGTGTTATGAAGTTGACACTGGCAGTAACTGGAGTGAGTTAAAAATAGACCGTCTTCTAAATAGCTTCAAGAATCATTTTTTTTTCTGAATAGAGTCAAAAAACAATAGGAATTTTTATATTAATCAGCGACTTGTAGTTCCACTCGCTAGATTTTTTTAAAAAACCTTTTTTTTTTCAACTCAGGAAAACATACCTGGAACATGTTAACAGTCTTGCAAACCACTGCCAATATCTCGGTGACCTGCCCCCTCCTCCTTGCTGGCTGACCGCTTAACCCAAAGTCCTGTTCTGTCACCAACTTTCATTTCTGTAGAAAACCAAGCTTCTGCAGGAAAATGTTTTCCTTCTACAATGCACTAACATGGTTCTCGGGAGTCCAGCTGCCTTCAGCAACTGCCCCGAGACAACCACCCAACAAGGAGAGGCTTGTGAAGCAGACCTCAGAGTGAAGGTCAAGGTGCCTGGAACCGCAGGGCTACTGGCAGGACATTAAAGGCCCTTCTGGACTCAGGCCACATCTTCCATTTGAAGACAATTGAAGAGAAAATCAAGATGTGTTGGTCAAACATCCCCTGGGTTCAGTTATTGCTTACTATACGGCTTAAATCGCTTTTCTCTCTCTCTCCAAATTTTATTCATTCATTTCTTAAAAGTGAATTTTTAAAAAATTTTGGTAGAAGACCCAATTCCTTCTAAAGGTGCATACACTACAAGTGTATACGTTGCCAAAAGGTGCCCAGCTGGTCAGAATCCAGGCACCACCTCTGACCAAAAGGCAGGTAGAGTCTGGGGCTTCTGCTAACAATACTGGCTGCTAAGCATAAATGACATTCAAGGCAGGATGCAAATCTGTGTTTCCAGTGAGTTGGAGGGATCGTTGACTTCCTCTTCCCAGCAGAATCCTTGTGGTCTTTTAGCTCCAGCATCCAGGAAGTCATTCTCGGGCTAAATTCTCCCGCAGGTTCATTTCAAACATAACATGCTTTTCAAGTGTCAGCAATGACTTGTGATTCCAGCTCCTCACCTCTCTCCTCCTCCCAACTCAATCCACCAGCCTCCAAATGTGTACCTGAACCTGTGCACATGGCTCCCTTAACCCTGCCACATCTGTATAAATACCTTTCCATCCACTCAGCCCTTGAGAATGTTAAAAAATATTTTGTTTCTAAAATACAGTGTCAGTATTTTACAGCTTGTATTAAAAGTGCCTTTTTATACATATATAAAAGTCAGAACTAAAACGTGTGTGTGTGTGTGTGTGTGTGTGTGTGTGTGTGTGTCTGTGTGTCTGTGTGTGTTAGGAACTAGCCTACAGTGAGTGATTCATTCACAGGATGGTTGGAAGAGTGGGGGGTGTCCCTTCCCCGTTCAGAAAACCTCTCCCTGGGCTCTTGGAATTTCCTTTGGGGAAAGCAAGTGATCTTCTCCAAGGGTGTTGGCTCCATGGGCTCTCAGCTCCAGGCCTCTCTTTGGGACATGGGTCATTGGTCACTGGTCAGTTACTGCTTGGGCTGGCACAAAGTAAAACAGAGTACAGTTAGGAGCCAAGCAGTGGTCAGCGCCATCAGCCTGCATATTGAAGAAACAGGGCATATAAGCAGGGCAAGAAGCATTTCTGTGAACGTGGGCGCACACACGTGTATACACGTGCGCGCACACACACACACACACACACACACACACACACACACACACACACACACACCAGGAGTACAGAGCTGACATGAGGGGGCACACAAGCAGAGGGGCTGCATGAGGCCTCCTGGGTGCCGCTCGCCCATGGCTGTGAATCCCAGACTCCCTCCTGGCCAGGCTCCTCACAATTGCTGGGCAACTCCAGAGATGTTGGCCCCTGGATTAGAGCTATGCCTTGAGAGGGAGGTGGGGGGGATATAAGACGAAGGTGAAAAGGCATTAAGAGACTAGATTCTAAGTTATGGCACTGCCATTAGCCATCTGTGTGATTTTGGGCCAGTCTCTTAACCCACTATGCCTCAGTTTGCTCATCTGGAAAATGGGTGTGGACAATCTCAAATGTCCTTTTCCGCTCCAAGAATCTAAATCTATGAGTAAAGAAAGTGGGTCATAGTCTTGGTTGGGCCGTGACCAATCTGTGTGACCTTAACTTCACCTCTCCAGGTCTCAGTTTCCTTCTCTGTAAAATGAGAGAGGGAGATTAGATAGCCACAAATATTGCCTTCTATTTATAGCCTTCTAGGAATAAATCCAGTATTTCCTTCCCCCCAAACACCAGGAAAAACAAGGAACTGTTCTCTAAACAAGCCAACCTGGCTGTTAGACCTGTGAGCCTCAGCCATCTGCTTATCAAATTGAACCTAGGTTACTGGGGAATAGATGAAATGAGAGTTTCTTGAGTTTTCCAGGTGGTAAGGAACCAGTTCACAGAGATCTGATTGCGTGATGCAGTAAGATATAGCCTTTCCCATTTATATAAAATCTAGAAGAGTCTACTGCAGTCCCTTCTCAGGCATGTTTAAGGCTGGACAAGTCACCCGATTCCCTTTGAACTCTGAGATTCTGTGACGAATCTTGGTCCCAGAGGATACAGGGATGTTTTCAAAGTGTTTTTCTCTGCTACTGACTCATTTGATCTCCATGACAACAACCCTGGGCGGTTGTCAGGGCTGGGATGATCGTCTCCTATTTTTTTCCAGTTGTGTTTTTTTTGTTGTGTTTTTGTTAGTGTGTGTGTGTGTGTGTGTTGTGTGTCTGTTTTTTAAAACTAAAGCTTGGCAAGGTTAAGGGACTCACCCAAACACACAGCTAGTAAGGAGAGGCTCCTAAATTGAACTAAAACTTCCTCTCCCATCTATGGTTTAGACAGAGTTGAGAGAAATAAGTACATCTCATCGAGAGGGAAGAGGAGCTCCCAACTGATCACTACTACTCCAAGGAGAAGCATCTAGGAAGAGACATGCTCCACACTGCAGGCCATGAAGCATCCAGAGCAGAGGCACCACAGAGGCAAGCCAGGCACGCCAAGCGGACGCGGTCATTAGTGCTTACTTGGAAGGTGCTTAGACAAACGTGTAGTGAAATCCATTGCTTAAGAGGGGCTGTGGTACAGAAGGTGAGGGGAGGCCCTTGGACAGCAAGGCTGACTGTCGAGCTAGACAGAATCACACAGGAATTAAGCAGCGCGTTAGACATAGGATTGATACAAACTGTCGACACAAGTCCCCCAAGGTCAGCTGGACACCCCAAACACCTGGAGTGAGAGAGCAGCAGGAACTAGAAGGGCAGGGCAGGTGACCTCACCAAGGCCTCAAATCCCAGGGTATGAAGGGGGTGGTGGGGAGGAGCAGTGAGGCAGGTGGTCATTCCCAAGGCTGGCCCCATCTGGAGAGAACCCCAGGATGCTCTGTGCCCCGAAGGTGGCAAAAGACACGGGCAGCAGATAACATGCAGGAAAGACATCAGAACATCTCTGTTCTCTGACTGGGAGATTCTGCTCTGGTACATGCTAGCCCGGGCTCCAAGCGGGCAATTACCAGGCTTTAAAATTAAGCATGTGGTAAATAGAGTAAGAGCAAGCATAGGCCATAGAGGAAACAAGAACTCCCATCAGTAAAGGAATTCCTATGAAGAAGGCATCACCCAGGCTTCCTCATAATTAGCCCCCTTAGCTCAGCCTCTAGGCCCACCTCAGACCATTAGCTGTTCAATGTAGAAGCCATTTTGGGGTGTACAGCACCAGGAAGAGACTGAGGCGGAAGTGTGGGAGCATATGTTGGGAGAAACACATTAGATGTAGGCAGCCCCGGGCTGAAACCACAAGGCTGGTAAACGCACGGCCCCTGGCCTGGGTGATGAGAAACCAGAGTAGTTTTGGCCAAATCTGATAAAAATGAAATTTAATAGGAGTAAATGTAAAGTCCTACATGGGTTCCAAAAAAAAAATCGACTATACAAGTACAAAGGGATCATATGGAAAAATCTGGAGGCTTGAGTGAACTGAAAGCTCAGTGAGCCAGCAGCCAAACTCTTCCCCACTGCACCCGCACCTAATGGGATCTTGGGCTCTGCAAAGAGCTCTCTCCAGCCTGAATTTGCCTCCTATTAAAGACTTCGGACTCAAATTGAGATCTGCACAGTTTCAGGTACCTGGTCACCCAGAAGGTCATAGTAGGGAAGGGGGTTTGCACCAGGACAGAGAACAGTCACTCCAGAGGCTGTACTCAACATCTGTGCCCGGGACTTAGATCCAGGAATTAATGGTGGTGGCTGTCAAATTTGCAGATGACACCAATGACCCACTAGAAGGTAAACTCTTTGTTCACATTTGTCTTTGTCACGTCCCAGCACCAAACTCTGTGCCTTGTACAGAGCAGTCCTCATGTTCAACCGAATTGAATTGAGGACGGATAACTAACTGGGATCCTTAACAAAATATTCTAGGAGGATTAGAAGAAATCTAATCGGATGAAATTTAATAGGAATAAATGTAAAGTCTTAAGTTCCCCCCCAAAAAAAATCAACTGTGAATAATGAGGTTCATATTAAAAAGATCAGGGGGTTTTAGTGGACCCAAAGCCTGACATGAGTCAGCTGTGCTATAGAAGCTCCAAAAAAACCCCAAACCACCTCACCAAAAAAACTAAAGGGACCTCGCACTACACTAAGAGAAGTCGGGGGGTTCAGAACTAGGGAGGTGCCTTTCTGGTTCCATCATCAGATCACGCCTTGAATACTATACTCACTTCCAGGTACCACAATTTGGAGTGAAGCATGACAAACTGGTGCATGACCAGAGGAAGGCAATTAGGCTACTGAAAGCACTAGGCTCTATACCAGGATCCATGGGACAAACTATATTTAGTCTAGAGCAGTGGTTCTCAAACTTCTGGGTCTCAGAATCCCTTTACACTCTTTAAAACTTTTTCAGAAATCCCCTCCCCATCCCTGCAAAGATCTTTTGTTTACATGGGTTGTATCTATTGATGTTTACCATCTTAGAAATTAAAACATCTTAGTATCATTTTTGAAAAGAGTTTTCACCTCACAGACCCCTGGAAATGGTTTTTTGGGACCTCCTGGACCACACTTTGAGAATCGTTGACATAGAGTAAAGACACAAAGGGAGGAGGATGGTCAATGGTCATCTTGCCAATGACCACCTGCCTCAGTGTCTTCTGGTATTTGAAGGGTAGCTCTGGGGAAGAGGGATTAACCTGGTTGTCTGTGACCTCAAAGGGCAAACCAAGAAACATCAAGTGGAAATTACAGAGAACCAGAGAGAACTTCTTAACCAGCAAAATTGTTTGAAACTCCAATGGGCCGCCATAGGAGCTAGTGAGCTCCACATAAATAGTAGAAAACTCACGGAGGGCATGTCTGCTCACATAGGGGATTGGCACAGAGATACTTTAAAGTACCTTCCAATTCTGAGACGCTAGGATTCTACACTCTGGCCTCTCCTGAGGTCCAGGGCACAAGTCTCCAGCAATGCACAGGGTCTCCTCAACCTCTCATCAGGCTGAAGGATGTCTACAATGACTTCCCAAGAAACCCACTAGAAGGATTCCAGTAATTGTTAAGGACATCTTTCCTTTACTTGTCAGAGTCCACTCTAGGCCATGATGGTTGGAGCACTGAATGACAGCAGTGCCTGTTGGGACTTGGAGAGAGAGATGCCCAATGCTGAATGACCTAGATGTCCCAGAGCACACAATCTCCTTCCAGGATTTGCCCCTCAGGAAGGTAAGTGTGGAAGACCTTGGAACACCCTGGATGCTGCCCTTCCCCCAAATGCCCAGATGGATAGCAATACATCTCTCATGAAGACAGAGGCGTCATTCCTGGCCAAATAGCATCTGGGAGCTGAACAATGTTCACAACAGCAGAACTGTTCCTAGGAAAAAGTCAATATTACCCCTGAAATAATTTCCCTCTCCCTCTCGTGAGGGTGTTAGGGGAGGACAGGGGTTATCTATATAAGTGGTGTTAACACTCAAATAGAAAGGATCACTGCACCGTATTTAAGGATCCTTATGGACCCTACTGGCTTAGAAAACCACATATGAAAATCATGTATGTGTATTTTTATGTATTTTGTAAAATATTTCCCAATTCCATTTTAATCTGGTCCTGGCCTTAGGAGTGCTGCCAGTCACAATGTTGCCACATGTTTGACAGCTCTGGTCTATGCAGCCAGTCTAAAAGCTTGCTTTGGCCACCACTGTAGAGAGGAAGCTAGAAAAACTCAGCTTTAGTGGACAGTAAGGAGGTATCTAGCTGGGGACATTATGAATGGACAGGCATTCAGTTAGACCAAGAAGTTGTGGCCTAAATCAGACATTCAGGAGCAGGACAGATGGGCAGGCAACCCACCTCTCCTAGGCAGGGCTAACTTGACCCTGCTCCTCCTACTTAGCCCCCACAAAGCATCTCAGAAAACTGTCTCTCCAGTTCATTCATCATAAGTGCCAACTCCCATAGCTCACTCTGATGGCCCCAGAGATAGAACTAAGTTTTAAATTCTCCTTTTGAGAGTGAAGCTGACATGCTGATAACTTCAGTAAGTAGTTTTTGTAAAATGCTGTCGTCCCACCCACCCTCCCCACCTCAACCACAATCCCCTTTCCTACTCCTCAACTCTCCCTGCAAAATAAGCCCATGCCACTCAATATCTGAGATTGGCAGACAGGTCATTTGATTACTTCGTTCTCCACGAGACTAAGAGTCTGGTCTAGGACAGTGTCTTCTTGCCTTTTGTAAAGAAACTAATCCTCTCTTGGCATGAACCTCATGTCCCTGGGGGAGCACATCCCAGCCAGGGGCTCGCTGCCTCCAAGAGAGGGTGCCCTGGATACAGCGTGAGTGGTGGTGACATGTGAGAAGGCAAACTGGCTGGTTCCCAGACCTCAGGAAGGGGCCTGGCCACAAGTGGTCCCTTGGGACAGGCAGCGGCAAGGCTCACCTGCCACCTGCTTGCTACGCTGGGAGGCTTCAGAAGCCAGGGTGTGGGAGATGTGGAAGATGCGTTCTTGTTCCTGGAGCTGGGAGTCAAGGTCGGCTGAGCGGCGTTTGTCCTGAGTGGTGGGAGGCTGGAGGTTGCGCATGCTGGAAGCCAAGAAAAAAAGGAAGGCAGTCACCCACCCAGCAGAGGGCAGTTTGATGATGGCTCCCTGGTAGGAGCAAGGACAGCCCCCTCTCCCCACACCCAGATCCTTCCAGGGAATGGGCAGGGCAGTGAAGCAACTAGCTTTATACATGGGCCCTAAACCTGGGCAGCCTGGGTGGACTCCCTATTCTGCATCCTCCACCTGCCACACTTATCCCTCCTCCAAAAACACACTCAGTGTATATGGGAAGCCAAAGATCACCAGTATAATCCAGGATAGCATGGAATAGTGGTCACGTGGATAGTAATTATCAAGGGTCAGATTTGAACCCAGGTCTTCTGACTTTAGAGCTAGTTAAATTTCTATTCTATCACGATTGCCATCTGGCAAGTCACTTAAAACTCAGTTACCTCACCTATAAAATGGAAATATTAATAGAACCTACCTCATAGGGCTGCTGTGAGGCTTGGGTAAAATGTCAGGGGCTAGACTGGTAGACCTAATTCTCAGGTGAGGAAACACTTTCTACAAATGCAGGTCAGCTACTTCTCTGAAATCTAAAGTCTTAGAGACTTGACTAGAGCATTGAGAAGATAAATGACTTGCCCAGGGTCACAAAGCCAATATGAAATAGAAGTGGCACTCATATCTGGATCTTCTTGGCTTCGAGGCCAACTCTCTATCAGCTATGGCATGAGCCCCCCTCATTTGAGGATAAAATGAAATAACATCTACAGACTGCTATGCAAACCTTATTTGTCAGCAGTTATCATCTGAGCCCTATTTCTCAATTCCTGCAGGACTAAGCAGTTCATTTCAACTCAATGTCAGAGAGAGAGAAATGATGATGACACTTGGACTTCACTGATGTGGGTATTTCCTCCAGTAACATAAGTGAAGGCCAAGATGGTGTAGAAGATGGAGACTGGGCTTGGGAGTCAGGGAGATCTGAGTTAAAATCCTGACTCTACCATTAACTGTGCGACCCTAAGTAAGTCACTTAAACTCTCTTGAATCTTAGTTTATCCACCTGTAAAATGGGGATAATTTTAACATCTACCACACCGAGATGCTAGGAAAATCAAATTAAATCATGTAAATAAAGTGCTCTGCAGACCTTAACATTGCTATATTGCCAGCTGTTTATTATTGTTGTTGTTGTTATCATTTACCTAATTCCTCCAAACACAATCTTTTAGTTTCATGAATTTTTTTGGACAAAATAATTCCTGTCTTAGAGGTCAACCTTTCTGAAATCAGCTAGTGGTCCTTGGTGGGCAGCATGGTGGGGAGCCATTAACTGAGCCAATAACTCTCCACTTTAGGAGGATCTACCCATGTGGTTCTTCTGTAGGAAGAGCCTCCCAGGACCCACGGACACCTCAACGAGTCCACTGAGGCAGTAGAGGAATATCTAGGCAGTTCTCAATGTTGGGAGGATATGCGGAGACACGCATGCAGCCCAAGTACAAGGTACCCCTGCGCTTGCCTGACCTGGTCCATTATCAGTATGTGGATGGGGCTGAGAATGAGGACGAGGGGACCCAGGATGAGATGCTGACCTGGAGCGGGTGAGGAGGTTACGGATCTTCTCGGCTTTGCGGAACCTTGCCTCTAACTCTTCCAGGCTGAGCGGCTCCTCGGGCTCCAAGTCTACATAGCGTTCAGGGATGGACACCTTATCTGGCCTGGACAGCTAGGCAAACAGAAGGAATAGAGAGAAACTCTGAAGCAGGGCACCTGTCCCCCACCGCTCTCCCTTCTCTGGTTAGCACCCATCCATTAGCTGCCATGTACCAATATACGTAAGCAGTGTTTCCTTCATTTAGATTGTAAGCTCCTAGAGGGCAGGACCAAGCTTTTGCCCTGTCTTTGTCTCTCAGGGTTAGCACAGTGACTGATATCTGGTACTGAGAGCTCAGTGGATACTTATTAGTTTACTGATCAATCACACTTAGCAGATCCTTTGAGGTCTGCCTGAGAGGCTGGGCATTGCCCATCTGAGGGCAGAGGGGATATGGCAGGAGGGGAGGCAGACAGAGCAGGGGGAAAGGGAAGGGAGGCAGTTCAGGGAGGTTCTAGACTAGCAAATTATCCTGAGAGTTTCTAAATGCAAGTCACTCAGCCCACACTCGATCCAGTTCTTTAGTCACGATCCCTTACATACTCTGTTGGGACAGAGCAGGTATAATGTGATTCCATAGGTACAGGGAACTCCCTGGGGTGGAAAACTGCCTCTACTAATACCACATCTAATCATTTTAGAGAACTGCCCAAAGCACTGAGAGGTTTAATGACTTGTCCAGAGCCAGTATGTTTCTGAGACTGAACTCAAACCCAGGTCTGCCTGGCCAGTTCTCAACTCACTATTTATTTTTATTTATTTATTTATTCATGTTAATTAATTTTAAAGAAAAAAAATTTTTTTTTTAGCATTTTGGTGAGGCAATCAGGGTTAAGTGACATGCCCAGGCACACAGCTAGTAAGTGTCAAGTGTCTGAGGCTGGATTTGAACTCAGGTCCTCCTGACTCCAAGGCCGGAGCTCTAGCCACTATACCACCTAGCTGCCCCTATTTATTTTTTTTTTGGTGAGGCAATGGAGTGAAGTGACTTGCCCAGGGTCACACAGCTAGTCAGTGTCAAGTGTCTGAGGCCAGATTTGAACTTAGGTCTTCCTGAATCCAGGGCCAGTACACTATCCACTGAGCCATCTAGCTGCCCCTCTGGACCCATTATTTCTGAATTTTGAATACTCTTTCCCCCATGAACAAGCCCCAGGAAAGAGGCACTGAGGCTTGACCGTGTTTTGGCAGAGGAGGAAAGGAAAGAGAGAGAGGAGCAGGGGACCTGGGCACCCAGTGGACAGTGGAAGAGGTATTAGCAAATTAGAAACTGAAGTGTGGCCAAGGAACAGAACTGGAGATTTCTTCAAGCAGCAAAGACAGAAACTACAGAGGAGAGATCACAGTTAGCAGACCCTTGGGTTTGAATCCCAGCTCTGATGCTAATTAGCTATAGTACGTACCCCACAGGCAACTTATTAAGCCACTCTGAGTCATTATCTCCTCTGTCAAATGGAGAGAATACCTGTAAGGATCCACCTCACAGGGATATTCATACAACCACAGTTAGAGCTTGAAGAAATTGTTAGGTTCTCTTTTAACAGAGGAGGAAACTGAGGCCCAGAGATGGGAAACCACTTGCCCAATATTGTTAAGCCAGGGAGGGGCAAAGCTTGCATATGAACCCAGATCCTCTTATGCAGAACTCTTTAATGATTAAATGAAGCAATGGACATGAAGTTCTTTGTAAAAATATTAGCCGTTATCATCTTCATTATAATTGCTTTTGTTGAGTTAGGTAGTTTCAAAGTTCTAAGCCATGGGCTCAAATATTGATAGGTAGGCTGTGGAAAAGAAAATCGGGCACCAAGGTAGGGATTTCTTAAACTGGGGAGGGGGGAGGTTCCAAATCACAGTGCTATGACTTCCTGGGTTCCCCAGGACTGGAGGGAATCCTTCCAACCAAGGGCTGAGCCATGGCAGCCTCAACTCGGAACAGCAGCCCCAGTGTGAGAGGCTCTTCCTCATGCTGGAGAGGAGGGAGCCAAGATAGGCTTAGCTGGCAGGTTTTTCCCTAATGCTCAAAGGGTGAATCTGATCACATTTGATCAAATTTTTAAAAACCAAATTAAATCCCACTTAAGGACACACTCACACTCTGATTCATAATTGTTACCTTCTCTCATGGTGGAGAACGTTAACAAACTCTCCTCTGTTTCCAATGGGGGCACATGAAGAGGAAGCATGATTTCATTACAGCAGGAGGTATTTAGGTTAGAGATAAGAAAGGACTCCCTGACTGGCAGGATTATTTGGGCCCTACAGCAGACTGCCAAGACAGGATATGGGAGCTTGTTTCCAGAAGGGGACCTGTAACTGGACAAGCTCCTGGCTGCCTCAAATCACAAGAGGAAAGGCTCAGTGGCCGGAGGACTGCACAGATAACTCCTGGGGCCAATGGGACCTGGATAGAAATGATTCTGCCCCAAACACTGCTCTACCGTCCTGGGTAATTCAGTGAGCCGGTCAATAATTACAATAATATCTCACATTTATATAGTGCTTAGAGGTTTGTAGAGTGCTTTCTCTGTGATAGCTCATTTGACCTGTAGAACAATCCTTTGTGACCCTACTTGGGGTTTTCTTGGTGAAGATACTGCAGTGGTTTGCCACTTCCTTTTCCAGCTCATTTTACAGATAAGGAAACTGAGGCAAATAGAGTTAAGTGACTTGTCCAGGGTCACACAGCTAGTAAGTGTCTAAGGTCAGATTTGAACTCATGAGGATGAATCTTCCTGACTCCAGGCTTGGCACTATATCCACTGTGTCACCTAGCTGCAAATCCTTTGGGGTGGGTGTTATTATTTTCTCTATTTTATAGATGAAGAAAATGAGAATCAGAGAGATTAAGTGACTTGTGGGGGTCACACAGCTAGTAAATGTCAGAGGTGGAATTCAAACCCAGGTTCTCTTGATTCTAAACCTAGTCAGTGAGGGCTTGTCTCCCAACCTGGTCTCCAATTCTGTGAGGAAGATGGTAGTGTGTGTGTGTGTGTGTGTGTGTGTGTGTGTGTGTGTGTGTGTGTGTGTATGTATATGTATATATATATATATATGTATACATATATATATAGGTATATATATATATATGTATACATATATATAGGTATATATATGTGTGTGTATGTAGGGAGAGGCAACCAGTATGGGTCTTGGCTCAAAACAAAGGTTGTCACAGTTCTCTTTAGGGAATCTACCTTATGATGGTCACTGACACCGGAATTCTGGGTATGGAAGCCTGGAGACATAACCACTAGGCCCTCTTATTATAACTACTTAATAATGGCCATTCTGAAATATCACTTAATAACAATTATAAAATGTTATTTAATAATTATTACACATCATTTCACAATAACTAAACGGTGTTTAACAAATATTATTGAATCGTTTAATTATTATTTAATAATAACCCATATTTATACAGTACTTGAAACTTTGTAAAGTACTTTACATATGTGATCTCGTTTGATTGTCACAATAACCGTGTGAAGGGTTTAATAATATTAAATGATTATTTAATAATTATTTAGTTTTATTTAATTATTTAATATTAGCATCTAAGGTCCACTTTGAGTTAGAGATGGAGATGTGGAACAGAGTGATGCCATGTGTGAAGTTATATTGGAGCTGCTTCATTCATTCATTCATTCATTTACTTAACCAACATTAATTAAGTTCCTATTCTATACAAAATGCACCATGCTTAGTTCCAGGCCCAGAAAAACAAAAACATCTTGTTGAGTCCCAAAAGAACCTGTACCAAATAGGAACTTATTATCTTGCTCCCTAGACCCACTCTTTGTTCAAACGCTCTGATTTCCACTGATAGCACTGCCATCCTTCAGGTGGCCCCAGTGCAGCCTCAGCATTATCCCTGCATCCTCCCCTCTGTATCCACTTGCCTGACTCCTATCACTTGCTCAGGTCCTCGTCCCTTTCCCCTGAGGTATTGCAGAAGCCCCGAATTGGCCTCCCTCTTTCTAGCTTCCTCTTCCTCCAATCCACACAGCTGCACAGTCTAACCCAGATCACTCCTTGGCTGGACAATTTTCAATGACTCCTTATCGCCTCCAGGACAACATATGTATTCTTTAGCTTGGCACCTTTAAATCCCTCCATGTCTTAACTTCTCCCCATCTTTCCAGGGTTATTTTACATCACTAGGCTCAAATCCTGCTTCTGACCCATACTGGCTGTATAATAACCCTGGACAAATGGTGCAGGGGACAGAGAGCTGGGCCTGGAGTCAGGAAGACCTGAGTTCAAATCCAGCCTCAGACGCTGTACAACCCTGGGTAATTCACTTAACTCCTGTCTACCTCAGTTTCCTTGGCTATAAAATGGGGCTCACAGGGCTGCTGTGAGGACTAAATGAGGTAATATTTTGAAATATTTAGCACATAATAGGTGCTCTATAAATGCTTCTTCCATTCCCCTTTGCTGGATTATTGTGATAATCAAATGGGATAATGTTTAGCACATAATAGGTGTTCTATAAATACTTCTTCTTTTCCCTTCCCTGAGTTGTTGTGAGGATCAAATGAGAGAATATTTGTAAAGCACTTAACAAAATGCCTGGAACATAGTAGGCACTTGATAAAGTGATTCCTTCCCTCCCTCTTCAAACTCTCCTGTGTCCATGTTTATCCATTGTCTCCTTCTGTATGATGTAAGTTCCATGAGGACAGGGCCTGTCATTCTTTATCCTTATGACCCAATGTCTAGCATAGCGCTGGGTACAGAGTAGGCACTTAATGGACTCTTCACTGTATGCTCTATGACACTGCCTCCTTTCACCGCAGCCCTGTCTGTCACAAAGCCTGGTCCTCCTCGCTCAAGGGAGTCCTCCAGCTCCCAACTGGAGAGCGCTTCTTTAACAGGTCTTGAGCTGGCATCTCCTCTACACTATTTTCTGTCCTGATGCCAGCTTTGAGATCCTAGGCTCATACATGGAGACTAACTTGGTTCTTCTTTGAGAGATTATCTGGGAAACACTGTAGCGTGACCTACAGCAAGAAACACTTAGCACACCCAGCCTGGGAAAGACTTGTAGAGAAGAAGGCCATGGAAAGCGATGCCTCCATCAGTAAGATGGCAGCCCCACCAGCTTTACCTCTCTGTCGATGTCTATGTCATAGTCTTGAGGCTCTGGGTCCATCTCAGTCACGGGAGTAGCCTGCACTTTCAGCCAGCCGTCCTCATCTTTCTCCCCTCCTTGCATGGCTCTCTCAAGTAATTGCAAATCAAAGTCCTGTTCTCGCTTCCACTGGTAACAGACACAAAAGGGTTAAAAAGTGGTCACTGGTCCCTGCCAACTGAAACCTGCCCTTCCTTTAGGGGGGACCCAGGCTGCTGGGAGTCATTATCAAAAAGCTGGAGAGGAAAATGAAAAATCTCTGACCCTTTCAACAAACAGCCTGTTTCCCAAGGCTTAGCCTCTTAAGTAGTAAATAGCTGATGCCTCTCTGGAACCTTGGGATTAGCTATATTTGCAAAACACAACCAGCGCTAGACCCAAAGGATGTCTGTTCACTCTAGGATACCAACTCAGAGCTATTCGCCTCTATTGGGATGAGGGCAAGCTGGACGCCCAGTTGGTACTTCTCAGCCCCTCAGCCAGGGCCTGATCCAAATCTCCCAATCAGCTGCACTGTGTAAACGCCTTAGAGGATTGCCAGCTGGTGAGGCTAACAAACGTGGATTGTTGGAGTGGCATGGGGGAAATAGCGTTGGATTTGGAGTCCAAGGACATAGGTTCAAATATTGGCTCTGCTACTTATTACACAGGGAACTCCACAAATTCTTCATCTTTCTTTGGACCTCAGTTTCCTCAACTATGAAATGAGGGATAGAACTAAATAATCTCTAAGGTTCCCTCTTGCTCTAAATCTATGATGCTAGGACAGTTACTACCAGCCCATGGGAGCTCATGGGCTCCTTTCTTAATTAAAAGACCAACATATTGAACTTGAAAATAGGGAAAAACAAAGATCTTCACTGACCTCTTGGTAGAGTGGGGATGTTAGTGAATTCTTTCCATATATAATAGCTATTAAGATCAGCTAATGAGGCAGCCCATGGTTAAGCATACAGAACCGGAAGGTAGCTTTGGAGCTGAGTCACTTTGAAATTAGAGTGGGTTCATGTGGAATCGGTGAAGCCATTTTTAATTCAATGGCAAAAACCATGGGTACTTTAAAAACTATGCTCATTGTAAGTCTTCTAATAACCCTCTTTCTGTACAAAGGTGAATCTCCTGAAAATGCTTTATGGTCAGAGCAGGAAAGGCCAACTTGTACCCTCTTGTGTCCTAAAAAGTGTTAACGTTGACCGCGTTTTTATGAATTGTGAAGAAGGCTTTTCCATGCCATTCTTCTCTTAGACAGTAGCAGATGTCTGTCCTCTCCCTTCCCTCTGTCCCTTCCTACCCCAAAGAGTCCTAGGCACATCTGTCAACAATGCTAATGACAATAATAAGGAAGATAAAATCAGCCGATTTCAACCTATTCATGCACAAGCTCTCCATACTATATATCAAAGTGGTCATCACTCCCTCTTTGGTGAATGATTCTGAAGGTTTGAAATGATTAGGATGTTGAAGCTCCTGTGATAGAGAAATCATGTAATGATCCTCAAAGAAGACATGTAGTTTCTTCCAGTCTTGGAAGAGTGATAGCCACTTGTTTAAGCCAGGCTTGATCACCTCCATAAAAAGAAGAAGACCTCTTTATTCTACGGTGCGGTCTAGTAAGAAACACATCAATCCATTATCATCAAGCAACATTTTTATTGGTGTCAATGCAGAGACTTATACATGTGTTTCTTCCAAAAAAAAAAACCAAACCAACAATAAAAAAACCCACAAGAAACTACTCAAGAGTCACTCTGTATCTGTACTCTTTCTATATTTTGAGACACCTGGTTGCAAAAAAACAAAACAAAAAAAGGCAATGTTATCTTATTTGGTCAGTAACCCACACATTGAGGCTGAGAGAGCCAGTGGACAACAGCAGCTCTGTACAGGTCAGTGCCCCTGGAGCTCACCTCTCTGGCCACTAAATTAATAGCTACAAATAGGCTGCTTGACTACAGGTGGGGGGGAGGGGCACATTTTGATATTCACTCCAATCATTAATTACTGTCAACACAATAGCAAAAGGTGTCATTAAGAAACTGTGTGCATATATCAGATGAACTAGAATGACAAAAAAAAATACTTAGACTCGGCATAGCTCACTGGAATGTGCAAAGATTGTGAACACATTTATGCTTTCCAGGGTGAAGGACTTCACTCAGATAAACATGTGTTGCCTAGCTCTCTGCTAGTATTCCCTAGAAGGGAACAGATCAGCAATGCAGAGGCTTAGAGACAAGTGAACCACAAATCAGCATTACTGGCTGGGGAGCAGAGGACGCTAGACAAGGACTGGAGGAGAGGGAGGAGAAGTCACACTTGGGGTGGGGGATCAGCTATGCGATTAAGGCATAGCTGCTAACACAATGAAGCCTGGTAAAAACAGAGTGGGCTAGTTATGAAATGTCCAACACAAATTAGAAGCTTCTGTAAACAAAACAGGCGACATTAGAGGCATGATGAGCAATAATTCTAAAAGCAGGAAAACTTGTGCAATGAATTACGTAAGGAAGAATCAGGCTAAATATCTAGAGAAACACATTATTAAACACAAAACACACAACTGAACTAAAATTTGGGGTGGGGAGAAAGAGAAAAAGAGGGAGGGGGAGAGAGAGAGAGGAGACAGACAGAAAGAGAGAAGAAATAGACAGCAGACAGACAAACATACATCTAATACTACTGTGCCATTTGGACTCCTGGGAATTAGGACGCTCTTTTTGTTAGCTCGGCTTTGGTTAGTAACCCAGGGGAGCATCACAAACTCATATATTCTCCACTTGAGCCCAAGTATCTCGTGGCTTCCAAAGGAACTGTTCAGATTCCGCCTGAAGCCATAGTTCACTAAAAAAGCCCCAACACACATCCATAGCCCCTCCTGTGACATACACTTTGAAGTTTCCAGGGACGGTTACTTCATTATGCTCCTTCCCTAGCAAATCACTGGAATAACCCTCCCATCCACCATGCAAAATCAGTCATAAAGTTCTGAAAGGCTGATAGAGAATGCCTAGAATGGCCTCTCCAGGGAATTCTTGAAATAAACTCTAGACTGACTATGTCTCTCTAGACATCTCCTATCCACTAAGAGGCTCTCTCTCTCTCTCTCTCTCTCTCTCTCTCTCTCTCTCTCTCTCTCTCTCTCTCTGTAGCATCTCCCATTCCATTCTTTAACCATCTTTCTCCTGCTCAAACACAGCCCTCATTTTGAGGAGAAAACCCTAATCAGGACTATTGGCGCTGCTGAAGCAAACAGCTCGCTCAGGCAGAGTTCAGAAGCCCTGCCTTAAAGTGCGCAAGCGGGAAGCACAACCAGCCCTGTCCTCCTAGTAACATACTGAGCCGAGGTCTCCAGGGCTGGGGCGGCTGAACGTGTGGGACGATGACACGCTCTGTTTCTCGCCTTGACTCAGTGTCCTCTTGCGTTCCCGGACGAGGGCCTTCTGGTGCCGCTTCATCCTCTCCAGCTGCTCCTCAGCGCTCATCTTGCCCCTCAGGTGGTCTCCAGAATACAGGCGCTCCAAGGCACTCTTGGGTCTCTGGGAAGGAGGCATGTGACAGACAGAACACACAACTTCAGTGGCTGAGCCCAAAACACAGAAGAACTCAGACCGCCAGTAGTAACTTCTTGCCCTGTGGCCTCTTCAAAACACTTTCACAGAGAATAATCTCAGGGATGGAAGACGCCTCAGAGGTATATAATCCAATCCAGCAAGCATCGTGTTAGGCGCTGGGGATATAAACTGAAATTTTAGAAGATAGTCCCTGCCCTCATGGAGCTTCCATTCTAGTGGGGGGAAATAGCATGTCAGCAAAACGAGTAGGTGTATAATTAACTGAGGAGGATGAAGCAGACACTAATACTAGGGGAAATGAGGAAAGACTTCCTCTAGGTGTTGTGCCTGAGCTGGGCCTTGAAGCAGGGGATGGGGAAGAGTATGCCGAAGCATGGGGTCAGCCTAGGAAAAACCATGGAGGAAGGCTGAGATTAGGAAGAAATAGGGAGGCCAGTTTGGGTCTAATATGGAATGTGGGAAAGAGAAGAGTAGGAAATAAGCCTGAAAAGGTAGGCTGGAGCCAGGCTGGGAAGGGCATGGGTGTCAGGGTCATGGCATGGTCAGACTCACGTTGCAGGAAGTTTATTTCAGCAGCTGTGTGGAGGATGGTTTGGTCCCATTTGCACCCAACCTTCTACATCATGATACAATGGGAAGAATGAAGGCTACGGAGTCAGCTGTCCTGGGTTTGAATCCTGGTTCTACCAATTAGGAAATCACTGTACTTCTCTGGCCCTTGGCAACTTCTTCCATAAGATGAGTGAGCCGGACAAGATGAGATGACCTCTGAGGTCCTTTCCTGCTCTAACTCCAACATCCTATGAATTTCTGTCTTCAACAGTTGGTCCAGACAGCCTCTCTCTGTGTCTGGACTCTAAAATATGCAGAAGACCTATGATTTCTTTAGCAAGAGGGAACCCTCCCTACCAGCTCAGAATACAGCTAGGCAGTGACTCCAGAGTTAAGTCCTAGGGAGTTGTCTGAAGTTGAAAGAGGGTAAGGGATGTGTCCAGAGTCACACAGCTACTCACTGTCTGAGCCAGGATCTGAATGTGGATTTTATTCCAAGCCTTGCACCCTCAGGCATCCTCCAACTCTTAATTATTACAACATTTTCCCTTTTACCAAGTTGAAATCTGCCTCCACAACTTCTATCTGCTCAAAGGGCTTCTAGTCTTGCCCTCTGAGGCCAAGCAAGATAAATATAATCCATCTATCATTTGATGGACAGCCTTTTGGATCTTGGAAGACCATGAACATAGCCTCCTGAAGTCTCCCCTTCTCCAGGTTAACCCTCCTCAGTTCTTTCAATTGGTCTTCCCGTGACATGGTTCCTTCACCATCCCTGTAATCACTCTCTGGCTTGTCAATGCTCCTCTTCTAAGCACAGAACATCTAGAACTGAGCACAATACTTGGAGGACAGTGAGGCTAGCCTCTCCCCTTGTCCTGGCCAAGACAGCCTGGGATCCCATTAGTTTTTCCAGCTGTTGGGGTGTCATTGACCTATACTGCTCACCTTCAAGCGCAGCTATGTAGCACAGTGGTCAGAGTGCCAGACTTAGAGTCAGGAAGATCTGAATTCAAATGGGCTTGGAATCAGGAAAACTCATCTTCCTGAATTTAAATCCAGCCTCAGATACTTATTAGCTGTGTGATCCTGCGCCAGTCACTTAACCCTGTTTGCCTCAGTTTCCTCATCTGCAAAATGAGCTGGAAAAGGAAAGGGCAAAATACTTGGCAGTATCTTTGCCAAGAAAACCCCAAATGGGGTCATGGAGAAATAGACATGATGACTTAAAAATCAATTGAACTGAACTGACTCTCAAAATACCGTCATTGGTATAGATGATGAAGTTCCATGATTCTTAAGTCCTCGGCCCTGGAGAGATTTCTACTAGATTTACAATGATTCTTAACCTGAAGTCTACATTGTGATTACTCTATTTTACTATAATTGGTTCCTTTTGTAATTGTATGTATTTTATTTTATACATTTAAAAACATTATTCTGAGTAGAGGATCATAAGTTCCACCAGACATTGACAAGAAAAAAGGTTAAGAACAACGGAATCAGAATTTTCCAGATGGGAAAGGAATACAGTTGGGCTGCACAGGCAGGTAATGGCCTCCTTGAAGCTCTACACAGTTTCTTTTGCAGACCACAGAGATAGGCAGGATGGCGAAGGAGTTAGCTATTCTTCTGACCCACACCCACTGTGGAACCCTGAGCAAGTGAGTAACCTCTCAGGGCCTCAGGAAACTCTTTAAGACAGTCAGACAATTAATTAAGTTAAGGCTTAAGATAATTAGTTTTAAAACAGGATTTATTAAGTGGTATTATGTGCCAAGCACCGTACTCTAGAGATATACAGGGAGAGAAAACCAGTGCCTGCCTTCGAGGTGCTTGGCTTCTAATGGGAGAGATAACATGGAAATGACTACAGACTGAAGGAAGGCAGTCTGGATTAGCAGCCAGGGAGAACAGAGAAGGCTTGCAGAAGGTGGGATTTAAGCTGAGTGTTGAAGGAAGCCTGGGAAACCAAGAGGGGGAAGTGAAGGGGCAAAGTAATGCTGAGTGACAATAGGGTACAGAGGAATAATATAGATAGGTGTTGGTGGAGGAAGGCTTCTTATCTGGAGATCACCCTGACAATTAAATCCTAAGTCCTGTCCTGTTCCCCTATCCCAAATGCAGATGAAACAGTATCTCTTGGGAAGCACAGATTTGGACAACCTGGCCCCCAGCCTGGGCCTGGCAAATAGGGTCATCCAGAGACTTTCATACCCGTGCTACCCCCACCCCAAATTCAAGTGAATCTCGTCTACTCTAATCCCCACTCCTGAATGACTGAGGAGTCTTGGCTCCCAGGAAATGCTTGGAAGGATGGGAGATGTTAGGGCTGGGTAGAAAGTAGGAAGTACACTGACTTTGGAGTCAGAGGACCTGGGTTTGAACTCCATCAAGTGACTACCTGTGTATCCTTAGCCACATTTCTATATCTTTCTCAGTTTCTTCATCTGTTAAAAAAAAAATGGCAGGTTGACTAGACTGTCTTGGAGGTTCCTTCAGCTTTAGCTGTATAATCCTGTGATTTTAAAAAAATTATTTTTATTTTTATTTTTTAAAAATTATTCAAATTTAAATTCTAATTTTAAAAGGCTTTATAGCTGTTCTCTTTTTTTCTCTCCATATCTGTCACTGCTCACCAACTAATCTTAAGATTCTTAAGATCTTAAGGGAGGGGAGGGGAGGAATGGGGACCAGGGAGGACCCCATCTAACCCATCTTAGATAACTGACCCCAGGAAAGAAGTTTTGGAAGATGGTGCTGCCAAAAGAAATGTGATTAGTGCATGGGACAGGGAGGGTAGAAGCCTTGACAGGGCCACAATCAAGCTTCTGACCACAGCATGGAAAACCTGGGCCATCATGCAGAGGTTACCTTTGAGCCTTCCGCATTTAATCCCCTCCTGAGTGTAACGTAGGAAGGAATGGTAGATGACTGCTGGAGCCTGGATGTGGAGCCGGAAAAACCTTTGCAATGGAAGGAGAGGGAGAAAAAGAAATGGGCTCGGATGCTCTGGCAAAGAAGCTTCGTACACAGACAATGTGCCCACCCATGCCCCCTGAGGACCAGCCCGGATCTGCCCAATACCTCCCCTTCTCCACTGCCCTGGAACAGGAGAAGCTGAAGAAGCTCCAGCCAAGGATCTCCCTCTTTCCCCAATTCCTCCTCATGTGAGAGCTCTGCACATGTCCAAGGACAACCCCCAAAGCCCTTACAGTTTGGTGTGCTCAGCTCAGCAGCCCATCCTTCTCCACATGGAAGGGGGCCAGAAGGAGAGGACCAGCAGCATTGAAAAAATACTCCTCAAGAAGAAACACTGTGATTCAGTGTGAAGAGAAACTGATGGACAGTGAAGAGAGCTGGGTTTTCATGCTAGGTACGGCTGTGTGTCTTTGAGCAAGCCACTTTCCTTCTCTTTGGGACTCAGTTTCTTCTTCAGGAAGTTTCAAAAAGAGGCAGAATACCACCTCGGTGTGTTTAAAAGGCCTGACCGAGGGAATCCATCTAGCCTCTGCAGCCACACACAGTTCAAAGGGCCCTGACTGTTTTGCATGACTTCATATCCATATCTATATCTATATATAAATAAAATTAATATAAAGTTGCTTGTCTTCTCAAGGACGGGGGAGGGAGAGAATTTGGAACTAGATTTTTTAAAAAATGATTGTCAAAAAATTGTTTTGCATGTAATTTGGAAATATTTAATTATATGTGTGTATATATATACATGTACATATATACGTATATGTGTATATATGGATGTGTGTATGTATATATGCATATGTATATGACATAAAGGGTTCCAATTAAGGAGGTTCCAAGGCCACAGGTTCATAGATTTGTGAGCTGGAGGGCACCTTAGCAGTCATTTACAACAGCTCTGTAATTTTAGAGAGGAGGAAATTAATAAACAAGTATTTAAGTGCCTACTATGTGTTTCTAGCTAGGTACTGGAAACTGTGACTCAGAGAGGTTAGGGGACTTGCTGAGTGTCACACAGGTCGTGAAGAGCAGGACCTCTATCTCCAAATCCAGCACTGCAGGCGTATGTGAATAGCTGGCGAGATTCCTTAGTGAGCTAGGAGTCCAGTAAGGACTGGGACAAGTCCCAAGTTTTTTCTGGGAGGCAGTGTCTAGGAAACTAGCTGCCATACCAGCTTTCCCCATGAGGTGGGGAAAGAGCCTTGCTGGCACCTTTTATGAGCCTCATGCCGATGAAGGAGAGGGCATGTCCCCCAGCTCCTGGCCTGGACTCCACTCTATGGCTTTTATCAAGCTCCATTCTCAGGGGCACTGGTGAATAGCTCCTGGAGGGTCACTTTTCAGGCAAAGATCCCTGAAACCTATACTGGAGCTTTGGGTCAGAAGAAGGGCTCTGATTTCTGAAGCCCTCAGCCGCATTCCATGGCTGTGCCAGCCCCTAGAAGGCTGACGTTTTGGGAGACAGCTTCCTTCACTCCCCAGACAAAGCCTGAGCTGGCAGCTGACAGACCTGAGGCCCAGGTCCCATTTAATAAGGCTGGCGGCAGACCTGGCACGGTGGATCCCAAGTAACACACATACACACACCTTCCCCCAAGGGAAATTCAGCTCAATCCAGTAAGCACACATTAAACGCCTAGAAAAAGGAGGCCGCTGTTCAGGGCAGTATATAGAGTGCCATGCTTGGGGTCTAGAACACAAGAGTTCAAATTCTGTCTCACATACTTAATGCCTATGGGACTCTGGACCAGTCATTTAATGTCTCAGCCTCGGCTTGCTCATCTGTAGAATGGGGGTAATAATAGTACGTGCCTCACAGGGTAGCTGTGAGGATCAAATGAGATGATCTTTGTAAATGCCCTGCAAACCTTACATGTTTATACAATGCTAATTATTGTCAATTATTATTATCATTATTAAAAAAGGACAAAGCTTAGGTCTCCTCTTGCAGACAGCGAGGGCCCGCCTTACCTCTCCCAGGTAGTGTCTGGTAGCCACTGTCAGGGCCCACAAATCCGAGGGAGGGCTGGTTCATGTCACCACTGAGGGATGCCAGCTCTGGCTCACTCATGTATGAACGGAGCTCAACCTACAGGAAGCAGATGCAGAGCTGGTCATCCCTGAGCCCAGGGGTCATACAAAGATCCTAACAAATGTAACAAGGCCCACGGCCCTCCAATTCAGCCCCCAAACGTTCTGCTGTCTGCCTCTTCCTTCCTGGCTCCCAAATTCCTACCTGTGTATTGGGAGTGGCCTGTGACTATCTCCTACCCAACTCTCACCTTGGAATCTCCATTCACATACTGCCCCAGCTCCCGGTCTCTCTTCCTCTCATCGGACTGCCGCTTGAGGCCCCTCACGGAGGTGTGGCGGATGATGGTGGCTTCCCGAGGAAGAGGAGGCACGGCTGGAGGTGGGTCCTCAGGGCTGTATTGCTCAGGAAGGGGGGGTCGGGGTGGTGCCTCATCTTCCTGTTCAGGAGAATAAAAGTGGAATAATCCCTTGGTATCCAACACATAGAAATGAAACACTCAAGATGGGCCAGGATATTCTTTTTTTCCTTTCTCATTTCAGCATTTTTTCCCCTCCCTTCCACCTTGTTCCCTCATTTAAAACAAAACAAATTCCCACATTGGCCATGTCTAATAATGTGTATCTCGTTCTACCTAGAGTCCATCCCTTCTCTGTCAGGAGGTAGGTAGATGAGTTCATCATTAGTCTCCTGGAATCATGGTTAGTCAGTGCATTGGTCAGAGTTCTGAAGGCTTTCCAAGTTCTTTGTCTTTACGAATGTTACTGTTATTGTAAGCCTTATTGTCCTAGTTCTTCTCACTTCACTCTACATCAGTTCCTACTAATCTTCTCAGGTTTCTCTGAACCTGCCCCTTTTCTCATTTATTATGGCACAATTACATTCATATACCATAATTGGTTACATTTGCAATTTTCCTTTGGTTAACAGTCCTTGGCCACTGCAAAAAGAGCTGCTACAAATATTTGGGCTTAGGAATCCTAATGACATAAAATAAGGTTATTAGGTGAGCATTGTCATCCAAGTAGAAAAGCATCAATACTCCGCCTTTGCTCACTACCATTCATGCCAGGCCAGTAAATATTTTATGCCAGGGGATTCTTGAAGGTGTTCACCTTTGGGGGTCCAACCCCTTCCACTGAGGCGGTACAGTAGAGTATTACAGATAAGAAAACCCAAAGGATCATGGAAGCTAAGTGGTTTAAACTCAGGACACACAATGAGCTAGCAGACACTCGGTCCACTGCTCTTGGCATTCCACAATGAACAATACCTTATTCCTCTAGTCTACCCTCTTTGTGGTGACTTCCCTAAGGTAGGGAACAGATTAGCAAATCATTCCCACTTATTAACAAGCTTAGAATACCACGGAGCCCACTGTATGAAAGATCTCTAGCCAACAGCCTAGGTCTTGTGGGACATGGGCTCCCTGTTATTCCATGAAGAGCAAATCTTTTAACCAGCCTTGGTGCAATGTGCAGATCAGCGGATGGATAAAAAGTCTCTGGGTCCCTGCAGGGCCCTGGTCTTTCCCTCTACTCTGTGTGTGGCTACAGACTCTTTTGTGACCCAGTGTCTGTGGGTTGAACCTCCAGACCTCGTGGGTGGCTCACAGCAAACACACACTGGTCGTCCCACATTGTCTGCTGTGAATGTGCCTGTTTTTCCTAAAATATTCCGTCTGTGGTGTCTGATGAGGGCTGTGGTTTCTCGGTACATCAATGGAACATCACTTGGCTGCCACAAAGGGGGGAGGGCTCTTCCTAATTCCCTGCATCCCCTTCCCCTCCCCATGCTTACTTTTCTTTCTCCTTTGATTGGGTTCTGCCTAATTCAGCACAGGGATCTGGAGATTGCCTTTCCTTACTTCCTCCTCCAATGCCAGCACATTTTTTTAAATTTGTGAAATTAGAGCCTGAATCTGAAATGATTGCTTCCTCTCACTTCCAATCCCCCTCTGGGTTATGATTTAAGTGAGAACAATAACGTCCACCTGAACAATAACGTCCACTATTGGCACAGTGTCTGGGAAGATGCCATATGCCCTGGGGGCACTCTGAGGACTGTCCAAGGATACAGCCCTATCGGTCACATACTGGCCACAGATTCAGGCCTTTTTCAGCATGGTGTTCATTTCGATCTGTTTCCAGGCCAGGTTAATTTCTATGTCATCTAAATCCGTGGGCTCTGATCCCACATGGGTTCTATCTTCCAGGCCCCCATTCTAGAGGTACCTCACCTTGGCCACATGTTGAGCTCTGCCCTGAGCAGGGGGAGTACCTCTATAGTCAGCGAGGCCAGAATCATCCGCATGGACAGAAGAGATAACTATTTCATGCTACTTTTATGGTTGTCTACAACTTCACAGATGATTCAATGGGCAATGGAGAGATACATACATCATTAAGCAGGCTAGAAGACCTTACCAACAATGACCTGGGCATGAGAAGTATCCCAAACAGTGGAACAGTGAAAAATGTGCTGGATTTGAGAGTCAAAACACCTTGGTTCAAATCTGGACTCCTTCACTTAATATTTGTGTGATCTTGGGCTAATTATTTAAATCTTTCTGAGGTTTATCTATAAGATGGGAGAAGGGACGGACAAGGTGGTGGCCTTTGAGGCTCATTCTAGCTCCTTATCTGTGGCCCTACGATTCTCTGATAAGCAGAATCAGAAAAGGAGATGGGCCAGTCCTGTAATGGAATTGAGGGCAGCTCAAATATACTACACTGGCTCCTCAAGATATTAAAAGAAGCATAGGAAGGACTGTAGGACACTGGGTGAGTCCTCTGTGGAATTATGATGGGAAGACAATGGAGAAGAATCCTACGGGATGAGAAGGTGCTTAGGAGGTTGCGATCTATACCGAGGGAGGAAGTAGGCTCATTGAGGAGATCCCTGACCCATCACGTAGACTGTTAAGTAAAGTAGGCCATTTATCATTGATTGCCTACCAGTCAGCTGGAATTTCTACTGATCCACATCTCACATTTCCAAACACAGCTTTACTCAAGACAGTGTATATGGCCAGCAGCTGAGCGGCAGGAGTGTGTAACACAAGGCAGTAGAGCTCAGTACCCAGACTACAGTAGTTGCTTAATAAACGCTCACTGAAGAGCAAGCAAGGGCCCCAAAGAAAAGCGATAAAAAGACACCTTCTCCACTCCTTTGCAGAGGTTAGGGGAGAGAGAAGGGTGTGGACCATTGAATATAATGTCAGATCTTAAAAATGTCTTGGATCACTTTTGCTGAATTTTTTTCCCTTTGTTTCCTCTTTTTCATTAAAAAAAAAGAAATTTTTTGGGAAGTGGGGGGAGGAGCACAGGAGAATTTCTAGATAATATGAAAACAAAAGACATTGCTAGGTGCAATGATGGCCTATGCCTTGTAGTCTCCGCTGCTGGGGATACTGATGCTTAGCACAGCATGTACAAATGGTCCCTGACTTCCTCAACTGTTCTCCAGTTCTTTATGTTGAACCAATTTCCTCCTGTGCCAATTTAGGCCTATTTTCTCCTTTCAAGTCCTCTGTAAAGATGGTGGACAAAAGTGCCAGAAAGGGAAGTGGAATCCGTAACCAGCACTTGGCTCCCTAATACACTGGGCCTGTTCTTCTTCCTTCCTGCCTGAAGCACTGGCCAGGAAGGAAACAGGTTCCCACATGGCCACATCCAGCAGCACTCGAGGCGCAGTGTGGCGAATGGCGACCACCCTATTTTTAGGGTAGGGATGTGGATTTCCCAGACAAAGAGCAACAGCTGTTTGCTCAGCCATACTCACAGCCTTTGGCGTCAGCTTTGTAGGGGACTGGACAGGAGAGGTCACTTTTCTCAGCTGGAGCGGGTGGGTTCTATAGGGCACATATGTCTGCAGCTGTGGAAAGAGGCGAACCTCCAGGGGCGTCTTCGCAGGGCTGGTCCACGGAGGGCTGCTTGGAGGGCTAGTCTGAGGGAGTCGTTTGCTCTCCGAAGTGCTGAGAGATTTGAGGACTGAAGGCACAGGCGTGTGAAGAAACAAAGGCACTGTTTTTCTTTCTAAGGGACAAAGGGACAGACTGTGAAATAAAGGGCAGGGGTTCTCTTCCCAAATGTCATCCTTCAGCTGCCCATGACTCACTACAGTGTATGGTCAACATTGCTGGTTAACGGTCATCCCACACCTCTGAGAACGCTGGCTCATCCCACCCCACACCCCCTCCAAGCCAGACTGGTTCCTTGGCCAGCCAAAAGAAGCACTTTCCTCCCACCTGGATTCTTGAAGGACTCCACCAAGATTTTGAAGTTTGCTTTATTTGCACTCAGGCCAGCAGTGACATCTTCAATCCTCCAAAGATCCTTCTGTATCTGAGATCTCTCCTGAAGATGAAAGAAAAGGCTTGACTTTCCTCCATGAGATCTGACTTTTCAATACTACTTAGGCACTCACAGGCAAACCCAACAGGCACAGAAGATACAGCGCCAGACCTGGGGTCAGGAGATCCAAGTTCAAATCTGACCTCAGAAACTTTACTAGCTGTGTAACCCTGGGCAAGTTACTGACCCTTTCTCAGACTCAGTTTCCTCATGTGTAAAAGGGAAGGGAATAAGCATTTATATAGTGCCTATTATGTGTCACACTGTGCTAAGCACTTTTTACAAATACTCTCTCATTTACTCTTCACAACAACCCTTCAAGGTAGGTACTGTTACTATTCCTATTTTATAGTTGAGGAAACTAAGGGAAACAGAGGTTAGGTGACTTGTCCAGGATCATACAACTAGTAAATAAATGTTTGAGGCCAGATTTGAATTTAGGTCCTCTTGATTCTAGGTTCAAAGTTCTATCCATTGTGCCACCAGCACCTCTGGGGTGTGTGTGTGGGTGTGTGTGTGTGTGTGTGTGTGTGTGTGTGGAGAGGCAGGTAGAGAGAGGTGGAGAGAGGGAGAGAGAAGGAGAGAGAGAGGGAGAGAGAGAGAGAGAGAGAGAGAGAGAGAGAGAGAGAGAGAGAGAGACAGAGAGACAGAGAGAGACAGAGAGATGTATATAAATATGCATATATATCTTTCTGAACCCTGGTCAAAGGGGACAAAGGTTTCTGGAGGAAAGCAGGTTACAAAGGGAAATGGTAACTTCATTGGCTGGTCACCTGAGGCAGAAAGAAGGATCGTCGACTCTGCCTCTGTAAAGTTTGTTTCAGCTGATTGACATCATTCTCCAACTTCAGGTACTCGTTCCAGGCATTTTCCATTTCCTGGTGGCAAAAGGAAATGTGGTCAGCTATTGTCAGGACACACCCTGGGCCTAGCTCAACCTGCAGGTTACATCTAGACCTGTTTCAAAGGAGGAGGGGAACCTGTTCCAGGCAGCTTCTGTTGTTATCAGAGGAAAAGTCATTCAATAAAAATTTTTAAGTAATGACTGTGCACCAGACACTCTGCCAGGTACTAGGTATACACAGATAAAAAGTACATTACACAGTTATATTACATTGAAGGGGGAGGGGAAAGCACGCACCTAGAAAAGTAAATACAAAATACAGATGAAATCATTTCAGGGAGAGGAGGGCAGGAAGGAGGGTGTGACCAGCTGGATGGGCTTCATGTAGGACACAGTCCTTGAACTGAGCTTTGAAGGAAACTTAGGATTCTGTGGTAGATGTGAGAAGGGAGGGCATTCCAGGCCCTGCAGACAAGAGATGGAATATGTGCTGGGTGGGGGTGTGTGTGTGTGTGAGTGTGTATGTGTGTGTGTGTGAGTGTGTGTGTGTATGTATGTGAGAGTGTGTGTGAGTGTGTGTATGTGTGTATGTGAGTGTGTATATGTATGTATGTGTGTATGTGAATGTGTATGTGTATGTATGGGAGAATGTGTGTATATGTGTATGTATGTATGTGTGTATGTGTGTGAGTATGTAGGAGAGGAACATGGAACAAGCCTGGAAAGGCATACTAGGCAGATCCTAGGATCTGGTTCAGAATTCCAAAGTCCCCTATTTTAGCTGCCACACCTTTCTTCTTGCCAAGCTCCTTAATTCCTCCCTGGAGCAGAGGTGGATGGGTGTGGGAAGATAACAGAAGAATCCAGTTACATCTTATTTATATAACAAGGGAAAATAATACTCAGAGTGCTAACAAAATTAAGTTTTTAGTGTTTAAGTAATATACATATAGATATAGCTATATACACACACAGAGAAAGAGAGTGAGAGAGCACTTAATTACTTTAGAATACTTACTGTACTTCAAGTACTATATACAGTACTTATATACTATAGTACATATAAGTACCTATGCATACATTCATATACATACACATATATTCATATATAAGCACACACTCCTAAAAGTACTAAATCCAAATACTTTTAAAAAACCAGTTAGCTATCTCCCATCCTCCAACCACACATCTCCTACCAAGTAGTCTCTGAGCAAAAATGTCCCCTCCATCAGCTATGAAAAAATCATCACAACTGCAGGCTCCTCCTTTAATGTTTCCCCTCAGGAAATTATGAGCTTCCCCTTCCTGAAAATTCTATCTCCCCAGCCATAATTAAAAAATGTTTACACTAAGGGCTGCTACCACAAACCACACCCAGGGTAAGCAGCATCAAAGATGCCCTGGGTTGTAAGGAAAGGGGCAAAATAGCATCTTCTTGTTGAGAGACAGAGACCCTAGGAAACCAGCATGAAGCTGCTGTTGAGAAAGCCATCATACAGTGGGGGTGGGGGTGGGATGGGGGGGCGGGGAAGAGCTCATCTAGTACCAAAGAACCCTAAATGCTGTCAACCTCCTTGAAATTCAATGCCCTAAAATTTATAAGACTACAAGCCATTCCCCAACTGATAAATGGTCAAAGGATATGAACAGACAGTTCTCTGATGAAGAAATTAAAGCCATCTATAGTCATATGAAAAAATGCTCTAAATCATTATTGATTAGAGAAATGCAAATCAAAACAACTCGAGGTACCACATCACACCTATCTGATTGGCCAACATGACAAAACAAGAAAATGATAAATGTTGGAGAAGATGGGGGAAAATTGGAACACTAATGCATCGTTGGTGGAGTTGTGAAATGATTCAACCATTTTGGGTCACAATTTGGAACTATGCCCAAAGGGCTACAAAAATGTGCATTACCCTTTGATCCAGCAATAGCACTTCTAGGGCTATATCCCAAAGAGATCAAACAAATGAGAAAAGGCCCCACATGTACAAAAATATTCATAGCAGCTCTTTTTGTGGTGGCAAAGAATTAGAAATTGAGAGGATGCCCATCAGTTGGGGAATGGCTGAGCAAGTTGTGGTATATGAATGTAATGGAATACTATTGTGCTATAAGAAATGATGAACAGGCTAACTTCAGAAAAACCTGGAAAGACTGGCATGGTCTGATGCTGAGTGAAGTGAGCAGAACCAAGAGAACGTTGTACACAATAACAGCCATGTTGTGCGATGACTAATATTGATAAACTTAACCCTTCTCAGCAATACAAGGATCTAAGACATCTCCAGAGGCCTTGTGATGGAAAATGCTATCCACATCCAGAGAAAGAACCATGGAAGTTGAATCGCTATCATTTTTTTTCTCTTCTGTTGAGTTTTGTTTCCTCTTTCCCATGGTTCCTCCTATAAGTTTTAATTTTTACTTACAACTTCACTAATGTGAAAATATGTTTAATAGGAATGTAAATGTATAGCCTATATGAGATTGTGCACCATCTTGGGGAGGGTGGTGGGGAGGAAGAGGGAGAAAAATTTTAAACTCAAAAGCATATGGAAATGATTATTGATGAATCAAAATAAATTAATAAAATTTAAAAAAAATTCAATGCCCTAGGAAAAACCCCCAGTTTCCCTGCCTTAGTTATGCCTCTCATACCCTCTGCCCTGGGATAGTATCTGCCCTTCACAACACCCAAGGCTTTGCCAAAGAGCTAGTTCAAATAATTCACAGCACAATCCTGGATGATTGTGCCTCCACACTCCTATCTGTTCCCAAACTCAGTCACTATTTTATAGAACCCCCATCTCCCCCTTCCCCACCCCAAGATGGTGGTGGGGGAAGGAATAATCAGAGCCACACATGCTTCATAAAGGTTATAGATGATATCTCAACACCAAAAAGTACCCCCGAGCCTCCCCCGCCACACACACATCCTTAATGGATGCACAAACTCCAGTCTGTAGACTATACAGCCTGGGGCTCCCTTTGTTTTGGGCATTCCACAGTCCCACACAGGTGCCACTGAAGTACAATGGTCAGGCAAAGAAAAGAGGAAGACCAACCTCCCCCAGTGGGAGTGAGGTGCCATTAATCTCACTGAATCTGGAGGATTCCCAGCTAATAGAGGGACATCACCTTCTCATACATAGCTGTGACCCCCACCACCCTCAAATATCAGAATCCTTTGTTATAGGCAGAAAGGGCCTGAATTTAAAACCTCATTTTAAAAGACAGAGGAGAAATATTTGCATTCCCTGGTTCAGTGCCTTGCAGAGAGCATATACTTAATAAATATATATTCAAATGAATTCCTTGAGTTACTTTCACATGTAAAAATAGGTGCTGTACCGAAACACAAAATCCCGAGGTGTACCGTGTGCCCTGGGCCATCTAACCCCCAACCACGGCTTTCAGTGTCCCATTGGTGGCTCTGGGACATCTTCAAGAAAAGGCCAAGGAACAGACATGGAAGAAGAGAATATGATAGGAGGGTTGATGAGACAAAGAGATGAACAGAATTAGTGCCACAAGCCCTAGATGCAGCTCCTCCAAAGCAGACACAGGGTAGGTCCTGGGACTCTTGAATTCTAGAATGAAGACCTCCAATTGATGTGCTAACAACACGCCCAGCAGAATTCTCCTAGTCCTTGTGACTTCTGAAAAGCAATCCCCTTCCCAAATAACATGGTGTGAGCTATCAAGATAGCCCCTGTCCTTTCTCCTCGCTCCCAGTTTCTGCTCCCCCATATTCCCTCCACCCCATACATACTGTTGAAAGCTTGGATATTTCTGCTCGTATGTGAACGAGGTCCTCTTGCAGCAGCCTTTGTTGGTAAGAAATCTTTTCTGAATGCTGGGGCTGGTCTTTGTACTGTTCCATTTGCCTGTGTAAAACCTCCAGGACTGACTCCAGCTGGTCCTGCACAAGGAGGAATCAGGTTATTACAGAGACTCAATTAGTCCACGACCTCCAGGCTAACCTTTCACTCAATGCAAGAATCTCTTTACAGAAAGGGCCCACAATCATGTGTACATCATGGACTCTGGCCAGCATGGATGATTTCTATGGACCTCTTCTCAGAATAATGTTTGATGTCTACATTCACAATGGAAGGCAATGCTAAATTTCAGTTACAGGTCAGTGAAAATAAAGATGTAATTTTTTTCTCTTATCTGATTTCACAGACCTCAATCACCCTGAAATCTATCCAAGGACTCCAGTTTAAGAACTCTTGCTCTCCATCTCTTCTAACAGTGTTAAGCCAACCTCTGCATGAATGCCTCCAGAGATGGGGGTGCCCTACTTTCAACATGGAAAAAAACAAGATAACAGACTCACAGGTCCATCCCTAACATTTTCTTCTAGAGGGGGGTAGTAGTAGTAGTAGTAGTAGTAGTAGTAGTGATAGTAGTGGTGATGGTGATGATGCCGATAACTAGTATTTGTATATCATTTTAAGATTTGTTTGTTTTTATTTATTTATTTTTGGCCAGGCAACTGGGGTTAAGTGACTTGCCCAGGTCACATAGCTAGTGCATATCATGTGTCTGAGGCTGGATTTGAACTCAGGTCCTCCTGATTCCAGGGCTGGTGCTCTCTCCACTGCGCCATCTAGCTGCCCCATATCATTTTAAGGTTTGCAAAGCATTTTACACATGTTATCTCATTTGACACTCATAACAACTCTTTGAGGCAGGAGCTTTTATTATCCCCTGAGATTGAGAGAAGGTAAAGAATTTGCAGGAGGCTGGATTCAAACTCAGGTCTCTCGATTCCAAGTTCCATGTTCTATCCCTAGGTGCCTCAGAAAAACAACTGCCTGTCTTTTGACTGGAAACTATGAATGACACAATAACACCGTGGATTTCTTCCTCCCATCTCTTCCCAAGTAGCAGGGGTGACCCCCTGCTCTCAAAGGGTCTGCCAGTGAAGCAGAATCTCGGGGAGGTTCCACCACACTGGGACCCAAGTGATCCACCAACCCCAGTCTCCCCATGAGCAGGGAATCCAGGCAAGCTTAAGGTCATCTCCTTGGCCCACAGGAAAACTCGAGAAGGTCACCCTCTAAATTTCCACAAGTCACCGAGCAAATCTCTCAGGAAGACCATTCCTTGTCACTTCTCGCGACACAGTTTAAAGAGACACTGCTCGGGTTTTTGCTTCAGGAAAAATGAGACAAAAATCACAGAATGTCCCCTCTCTTTTCTCTCACTGTTTAAAAAAATTGGAACAGCTAGCTAGCTAGAAACATATGGATATCTAATATATAAATATAGATTACATATATATAAAATATATGATATAAATATACATTTATATAGAAATACATACACACATATATGTTAAAGTCATAATTACTTTGTTCTCCTTGAGGGCTCTTATTTTGTCTTCTAAGTCCTGCAGGACCCTGTCTTGTTCACATAAGATGCTTAATTTTACCTATAAAGAAAGATCAGATATGAAATGAAATAACTTAACAGCTGCTTTATGATGCCCACTGTCCCATCAAGTCTGCCCTAATGCCTCATTCTGGCCCTGAGATGACCGTGGGCTTAGCTCTCAAAGGCTCAGTAGGACTTGACACACTGGAAAACAGCTGAGTGTAAGCTGGTGATGACCATCCTAGCACTAGGCTAGCTAAGTCTGGTTACCAGGGGACTCATTTTTATAGCTTCAGGAGTTCCTAAAGAACTGTCTGTTAAGGTGTGAAAGGTTTGGGATTACACATTTTTGAAGGAATGAAACTTGCCCACTTTCAAGTTCCCCAGAACCAATCAGACCTCACAATGACCTTTCCCAGTCTTCTACTCAGCCTTGGGGAGTTGGGAAAAATGGAGGGAGGAGACAAGGGGAAAGGTGATCAGTGACTCACGTCAATATCACTCTCGGCTACTTTCACAGGCTTCAGACTTCTGTCCTTGAAAGTGTCACGGGTCATCTACAAAAGAAACAATTTAAAGATGAATTAGGAAATGAAGCTGGTGAAGGCCAAATCCATGAGAACAGGCATGCCATGTTTACCTCAGCAGTTTAGAGAGGGAAAATTCATTATCTGTAAAAGTATCAGGAGATGGGTAGGAAGGGGAAAAGACATAGGGGAGAGAAACTGAGTGCTTCAGGTAAAGGGGAGCCCAGTTCACCTATGCAAAAAGAAGAAAAATTATGTCTGATTAAGATTGTATTAGTAGTTTCTGGTATCTTAAATAGAAGAAAAGGTAATACCATCTCAAGTAGTGGAGTCCTCTATCACAACTACTACACATAATCATATTACATGTTAACATTATAACATGTACACATTATATAGGTATATATTATATTAATGTAATATAGCATCACATTACATATTAATATAAACTATTATATATGACACCTATTTACAAATGTAACCAAGTTAACACTATATAAAATCTGGTAAGACACAGTATGAGAGCAATAGTTTAACCCTTCCCCCCTTCCATGCAAATTAGGATAATTTTTCCTTAAATGATATTGAGAGAGGCTGCTAGGTGATACAGTGGATAGAACACTGGCCCTGGAGTCAGGAGGACCTGAGTTCAAAGCTGGCTTCAGACACTTACTAGCTGTGTGAACCTGGGCAAGTCACTTAACCCCGATTGCTGCCAGGAAAAAAAAAAAGATATTGAAACCATCTTCAAGTGTTGGCTGGTCCAGGAGATGAAACATCCAGGTGGTTGATATCATACCCTGATTGTCTGAATACAAAGCAGCCAGGAAAGCTCTAGAGGATGCTCTGATGTTTAGCTGGTAGATCAGGATGGGTAACCCAGGGAAGGGAGCTTCTGTCAGATGAATCAACCCAAAGTGTCCTGAGTGCCGATTCTTGTTGAATGGCCTTCTGCTATGAAGTAAACCTCTTATTGTTAAGAGATAATGATCTACAAGTACTTCATTTTGTTTTAATATTGAAGCTAAATGGAATCAGGCCCAGCCTAGGACAACTGGTAGAACCCTGCAGGATGGGAACACAATAGTGAGCTGAAGTGGGGCACAGGCAGCAAAGGATTGAACATTTATTGTATTAAACTGCGCATCATTGTATGACACTCATACTCACTTCAGTTTGTGTTTTATCCCTACTATTAGAAGGAGAGCTCTTTGAGGGCAGTCAGCTGTGTTGTTTTCCACATTTGTATCCCCACCCCTAGCACAATGTCTTCCTTGTTTTCTGTAGGTGGCTAATAAATGTTTATTTAGGCAGTGTTATATAGTGCGCAGTACCAGACCTGGGTTCAAATCTCTCCTCCCAACATATAATATCTGTGAGATAATGGATAATTCAATTATGAAACTGTGATGAGTTTCCTTATTTATAGAACATGTATAATGGTGATAATGATTAATAGTTATACTTTCATTATCTGTCTCATGGGTTTATGGGGAGGAAAGTGCTTTAAGAACAAAGTATTTGATAAACATGAGCTATTATTCTTATTACTATTACTGGCCATAATACTAATACTTCCCAACCCAGGAAAGGTGCCTGGGGCAGCACCAGAGAGATGACCTTCAAAGTATTCCAAGGACTCAGTAAGAAATCTGAAGCCAACACAGCCAACAGTGAGGTCTGCTCATCAGACTGACTGCCTATGAAAAATGACTTCCCTTAAGGACCAGACCAGGCATCAGAGACTAGCATGTGATTAAGACGTAGGGTTGATCACAGAAATGTGACTTGATTACTCTATATTACGCTGGAAGAGAAAGTCCATCCATATCTCAATGAGCAAGCATCAGATTTCAAATTCAACTTGCTTGAGTGTCAAAGGATTTAGATGACCTAAATCCCTTGTTTTTTACAGACAAAGAAATTGGAACCCAGAGAAAGGAAAGGGCTTGCCTTTTGACTTTCACTTCATGGAATCACAGAATTTCAAAAGGCAACAACAATAATAATAGCAATTGACAGTATCTATCTGTGTGTGTGTGTGTGTGTGTTTGGGTGGGTGTGTGTATACACTATATATTAGATAGTATTTGAGATGCAACAACCTCAGAAATCATTTTCTACCATTATTGTGCAATAAGAAATGAAGAACGGGAGGATTTCAGAAAAACCTAGACTTTTATGAACTGATACAGAATGAAGTGAGAAGAACCAGAACAATGTATACAGTAACAGATGGCAAATAGCAGAGGTGAGATTTGAACACAGGTCTCCTGACTCTAAATTCAAAGTTTTTCCTTCATTACTTCACTTCCCAAGACCGCAGGACCGTAGATTTTGAGCTGGAAAGGACCTTAGATGTCATTGAGGCCAACCTCCTCATTTTACAGATGAAGTAACTTAGGTTAAAAGAGGTTAAGTGACTTGCCCAGAGATACACAGCAAGTAAGTGTCCAAGACAGGATTTGAACTCACATCCTTCCAACTCCCACTCCAGAACCTTATCAACTGCATCAACTGGTTATATGACCAGGGAGAGTTCTACGTTGATGTTTCAACTTTACACTGAAGCAAATCTCCTAGAGACAAGGACAATTCTGAGAAAACCCAAGTCTTATTCAAGATTCCCCCCACTCCTATGGAGCAAGTCATTTATCAATGCAAACAAACCCCAGAGTATAGCTACCCAGTCTGTCTTGCAAACAGTGAATTCCCAAACTCTAGGCACTGTCCAAAGCATAATCAGGCAGACCATTTATGCAACCACAGTCAGGTACAGGAAAAGTCAAGTCCTCAGGGATGATGAAACTCCAGACTAAGCTTCTCCACAGAATGCACCTCACAATGTGATGCTCTCCCGCATTTCACTCTAAAGGTCTTGCAGTGGACACCACCATTCGATGCCTTGCTGGGGAAGCCAGGTGGTGGACAGCAAAGCACCTGGGCACCCCAAGGGCTATTCCTCACTGGTTCCTCTTTTGGTTTTAGCTTCAGAGAATCACAGAATTTCAGAAGTTACCAACAGAAATCACAATAGCAATTGACACAGATAGTATCCATCTCTCTCTATATTACATATGTGCGCGAGTATACTATATTAGGTAGTACTTGAGACACAACATCCTCCAAAATAATTTATTCTGACTCATGCCTGAACAGAAATCTCCTTTAAAACATCTCCAAATTATCATCCAGCTTTCACTTGAAGACTTCCAGAGATAGGAACTTACTATTTTTTTGAAGCAGCCTATACTATTCTGATGTCTTTTTCCATGCTAAGCTAAGGCTATCTTTTCTTATGCTAAGTTAAATATAACATCTGTACTGCTCACTAACACATTTTTTAATTAAAAGTTTATTATTATTTATGTTGGTTTATTTTTGCATGCTGGGTCTCCCTATCTCTCCCAGGCTAGAAGTGCCCACTCATGGGCCCAATCCCAATAATGATCAACATAGAAGCTTTAGCCCATCTCATTTTTCCAGCTCTCCTTAAAAGGCCTGGTCATCCCCACCTCCCATTCCCATTTCTGGGGCCTCACCTCACTGGTGCCAGCCTTAGTACAGAAAGCCAATGGGGCTTTAGCCCTATCCTGGAATTTAAGCAATTCACCAGCCTCAACCTCCCCCAGAGGCAGGGATTACAGGCATGCCTATCACAGTGCCTAATACATAGTAGGTACTTAGCAAATGCTCACTGACTGATGCCATCTCCCCAACATAATGCAAGCTCTTTGAGGGAAGGGACTGTTTCATTCTATTTTTTTTATGTCTCTACCTGAGACAGGGCCTGGCATAGAATGAACACTTAAAAAATGCTTGTTCTTTGATAGATTATGCTATCTCTTCTAACAGAACATAAGCTCCTTAAGAGAAAGGACTGTTTCATTCTTATTTTTCTATTTCTAGGGTCTAGCATAGTGTCTAGTCACTGTCAATCAACAACCAATGCTTGCTGATTGATTAATGAAAAGCATGGATTCTATTGGTCAGGTGAAAGCATGGTCACATAAGCAGTCTTCTTCCTGCAAACATGGGCCAGGCAGAACTGATGATCCTAGGTGCAAGGTTTTTGCTGTGTTGTTTTTTAAAATTTCCCTTGCATTGCACTGGTAAAATACTGCATTGATAAATTGAACATTGCATTGATAAAAATGCAGGACAAGCATCTAAGGGCTACAGGTGTAAGAAGACAAGAAAACTATCAATAGGCCTTCTCCAAGTGATGGGTTAGAAGTAGTCGAAAGGCTTTCTCTCCCCTACCTCCTCAAGGGGAATGCTAGGAAAATGTATCTGGGAATAAGAGAATACAGTAAAAATAAGCCTGTCTGGTCTGCAACAGCTGGAAAAAAAAGCAACAAATGCTACAGAAGATCTGTACAGACCCCACCAAACAAAAGGATTTGGTATTTCAGAGATCAGCTGTTTGGGCTCCATGAAATATAATTACTGAAGGCTTCAGTGACTTGTCTATCAACAACTGAGACTTTCTGCAGCACCCTGAATGTGCTCGGGAAGTCGTCAGCACCGTGGACAGGTGGCATGCATTGAAGGTTAAATGGATGTGTCCGTAGCTTCTTTGGGTGCTTCCAGTCTAACTGGAATCTACCCAGTATGATGGAAAACTACTGCCATTTCACCTTTTGGAATCATTCTCAGTTACAAGAATATTTTAATAAAGCATACAATGAGAAGATTATCAATGACACCATATTTTGAGAAACTCTTTGCTAACTAAAAAAACCCAAGCTCATCTTTTTTATTAATCATGTTATTATTATGATTATTTTGTTACAAATATGAAAAACATGAAAGATATTTGTCAGTAAATAGGTATGTATGTTGTTTTATCTTTATTGTCTGTTTAAGATTTGTTACAAAAACTGTAATCAATTCTTAATTTTATTTGAATTAATTACATACTAAGGAAATTGCATAGACTCATGGAAAAGAGTGAGATTTTTTTTAAAGGCAGAGGGTGTTGCTGTTTAAAGTTCAGAAACCACAATGTAAGAGATTAGTGCTATTACTATAATTATTATCTAGCAGTAAATAATTGCTGACTCCCTGACCTCCCTCCCCTTCAGAAAAGATAAAGGGCAGGCAGAGCAGTGGATGAATAACAGGAGGTGAGTGGCAGAGGAGAGGCAAGCAATGATCACAAGTTATATTAGGACACAAACTATATCAGTAATTGTGACCCAAACAATAGAAAGATATTAGGGAAGTGAGGTGGAAAACATCCCATTCCTACTAGGGATGTCTATGTTATTCCCACTGACATTCCATTAATGGCCAATATTAACCACACTAGCACTAAACAGAAGAAACACTAATACTTTAACAGGAAAATTTGTATCTGAGGACTGGGGACTCTTAGGAAAATTCTCCACAAACCACAGTGATTACCTAAGATTATTTCCCATTTAACCTGTATATATCTTGTTTCTACATGGCTGTTTGCATATTGTATATCCTTTAGATTGTGAGCTTCTTGAAGGCAGGGACCATTTTTTACTTTTATTTATATCATCAATGCTTAGTATAGTGTGCCTGGCACATAGAAGGCTCTTAATAAATTCTTGTTAACTTGACTCCAGGGCATTATAGTCACATAGCATTAAACTTTATTACTAAAGAATTGGGCAACCACATGGTAAAGGGCTTTGAGATGGTGTCCTTGTGAGGCATGATTGAAGGAAGTGGGAATAGTTAACCTGGAGAAGAGAAGACTTGAAGGGTTGGAGATGGAGAAGGAAGATATGAAAACTGTCTTCAGGAATTAGAAGGGCTATTGTGGGGAAGACAGATTAGACATGTTTTGTTTGGCCTCAGAAGGCAAAACTAAAAGCAAGAGAAATTGCAGAGGAACCAATTTAGGCTCAATGTAACAAAAATCTTTCTCACAGTTGGGTTTCCAACAGTGGAACAGTTTTCCTTAAAAGATTTTTCAACAGAGTTTAGAACAGAGGTGTCAAACCCATGGTCCACAGACCAAGCTCCCAGTGAGGCTCAAAACATATTAAAATGTAACTGGGAAATGTTTAACAAAATAAATAAAAATACAATGCAACACAGATAATGTTAATTTGTGTTTTTCTAAATCAATATGCTGCCTCCCTTTCTATTTAAGTTTGACCCCATCGATCTAGAAGAATATTTATTGAGGGTGTTATAGAAGATTGGCCTAGATGGTCTGAGAGTTGGCCCTTGGACTGTCTCCTGGGAAGCACCTTGGGAGCCCAGAACCAAGCCTTATGTCACTTCCCTCACCAACTCCAACCCTTTATGTGATGTCTTCTCCCATTAAAATATAAGCTCCCTGAGGGCTTTCTTATTTTTTTGCTTGTGTTTGTATTCCCAGTGCTTGACAATGCCTGACACATAGCAAGACCTTAATAAATACTTTATATGTCTTCTGCGAGGGGTAAATGCCACCTTTCTATTATAACTCTTTCCTTAACTATTCCAAACAACCAAGATTCCTCATCTCACCTTCCTCTCTCTGTCTCCAGCCCTGACTCCCCCAGGCTCCTTTACCTCTTATCGAACATTTTCTGTGCCACACACTATAGGACTAGATTATATACTGTCTCATGGTCTCTCTTGAAGTTTTTGAAGTTTTGTTTTTACAAACAAATGGTAAAGTTCCCTAGGATATTGTCTTATAACTCTCATAACCCTGAAGACTCTGCCAGGCACATAGCAGGCACTCAGTAAAACACTGGTTGGTTACAGGGAAGCCATCCCTTCTCTAGGGTTCAAAGCTCCATTCCCACAGATCCAGAGATTCCTGGAAAGTCCTGGACAAAGTTGGGTTAGCCTCCTCCGAGCACCTGCTGGACCACATCTCCTATTACACAAATTCCTGGAATAAGTCCATGAGGAGGGTGAGATTAGTGGTGGTAGTGGTGGTGGTGGTGGTGGTGGTGGTGGTGGTGGTGTGGTGGTGGTGGTGGTGGTGGTGGTGGTGGTGTGTGTGTGTGTGTGTGTGTGTGTGTGTGTGTGTGTGTGTGTGTGTAAGTACTCTCTGGCCCCTCAACCTTTATGCTCACATATGTTATTAATTAGTGAGTTCTTCCTCCTTAGAGCTATTGCACATCTCAGGCACCATGAGCAGTGCTTTGCACAATGACAGCCTTGAGATTGGGCTGTTGTGACAGATAGCAGGCTTCTTTCTGAGCAAGCTCCCCTCCCCTAGCATGGGATGCTCCCAGCACTGATTTAATCCTATCTCAATGCTACATAGATCTATTTAAAATCAAACATAATAAAAGTAAGGGAGTATCACCAGGGAAGGGACCAGAATCTATTTACCTGAGAGAGGGAAAGTCTCAAAGCCATTCAGGTCCACCTATCACCCAGTCAGAGGTCATGCCTGTCAGCCTTCCTGAGCTGCCCCAACACTTAAAACCACTCAGGGTCTGAGGATAATTGGAAATAAGTCCCTGGACACTACTAGACAAAAAGGCTACTATTGGACAATACATATGCAAAAATAAAACTCCCATCAATCCCAGACTTTGAAAAAACCCCAGCTATGTGGTCACCAGGGAAATTCCACAATCAGTCCTTATCCAAAGGATCCACAGCTAAAATGACTAGAACCTATGGAGAGGGAAGTGGTCCACTTTTTGTGGTTGCAATCAACTAAAAGGAGATATTTCTGGCAGAGTGGGTAGAAGCTCAGCCTTAATTATCAGAAAGGCCTGGGTTCCAGTTCTGACTCCAACACATTTTGGCTCTATGACATAGGCTTAAGCTCTTGGTGCCCCTACACAACTCTCTAACACTGAGAGTTACAGATAGGTTGTTGATCAGCACTGGATGAAGGGAATTTCCACACTGGAAGTTCCCATTCCAAAGCAATCATAGGTCCAGACCAATAAACTCCCACTTTCTGAATTATAAACAGACTTCTCAACAGGAAAAATAACAAGAACAATACTTTTCCTTAAATAGGTTCTGTTAAATAGGTAGTGAAAAGATTGTTAGTCCCATTTTACAGATGAGGAAGCTGAGCCTCAGAGATGTTAAGTGACTGGCTCACAGTTTGTAAGGGTAAGAGACACATCTCTCCATTTTTTTTTTACTCTCCCATGTTGCTTCCAAATAAAAAGGGGAGATAAATTCAAATATGATACCATTCATTCTTCTCTTAGTCTTCAAAGTCTACTGAGGCTGGCAGCCTGTAGGCTGGGAAGACACAGCTGGGGAGGACAAGGAGAGTGAGTGAAGTAGGTTCTAAGTGTGCTCACCTTTAGGTCTAGATACTCCAGGTCTTTCTTCAGCTGCAGGTAAGTGTCGTCAGCCTTCAAGGAAGCACAGAGAAAAAAATAAGTCATATACCAAGGGTTTGCTCACATCCTCTACCAAGTAGCAACAGCGGTGGTAGCAGCAGCAGCAGCACAACAGGTCAACGCTTCTTGGATGATTTGGCCACATTGCACATTTTAACAAAGAAATGAGAGAAATCCATCACAACAGAAGCAGCATATAGTCTCTCCTGCAGCAAAGCGCTACAGATATGATCCAATGGGAGATGTCCACGAGGGACTGGGGGAGACTGCCACACCTCATTTACCCATTCTCAAATGACAGAGGGATGTGATGCTGACACCCAGAAGGAGATCACCCAACAACCCTGTTAAGTCAAAATTCTATAGCTGTCAACTACCCAGGACAGAACTGGAGAGCTGTCACAGAGAGAAGAGTCGTCTACCTGGCTCGTCATTTGACAAAAGCTAGCAATGAACTTGTGGCATAAACGGATAATGTGGTGGACTTAGATTCAGCAAGATTGGATTTCAAAATCCCTCTTCTGACACCAGCTATGTAACCATAGGCAAGCCACTTGACTTCTATGAGCCTCAGTTTCCCCATCTGTAAAATGGGGGCAAATAATAGCACTAGGGTAATGGTGGGGCTTGAATGAGACCTCTGACCTGCCTTGCCTCCCTCCTTTTCCTTCTAAGCTCACTCTCTGTAGATAAACAGAATTCTCCATGTCTTTCCTTTGGTGTGGCTCTGTCACAGCTTCTCTGGTGGCAACAATACCATTTGAACTCTCACTCCCAAGACAGACTAGATGTCTTGGAAGACAGATTAGTGGATCCTGGATTGCCTTGCTCTCATTACCCTCCCTCAACTACAGGTGAGTACCCCCACCACCTGCTTCTCTTATGTCCCCTTGTTCCCCTCCTGGTCCCTGGATCTGAATTCGTGCCTACAGACCTCTGGGCTTCTTCCAGTCATCTAGGTTTGTTAGAGTCATCCATAACTCTTCATTCTTATACATCCCCCAAACTCAATCTGTTACCAAGGCTTGACAATTGTACTTTCTCCATATCTCTCCTATCTATCCCCTTATCTCCATTTACACTACAAACAACTTAGTCTGGGTCCTTAGCACCTCTCTCCTGGGCTATTGCAATTGATCTCCTTGTATCCAGTCTTTACTTTTCCAACACATCTTTTACAGAGTTACCAAACTGATATTCCTATAGCACAGGCCTGACACTGTTATTCCTTTGACTGAATTTCAGTGGCTTCCCATTGCTTCTGGGATAAAATACAAACGTCTCAGCCTGGCCTTTAAAGCCTTTCATAATCTAATTCCAATCTATTTTTCCAGACTGATCACACATTACTCCCTTGCTCTAGACAAAACAGTGTACTCACCATTCCCAGTATAAAACATTCCATCTACTACTACCTTGGTGCTGCTGCACAGGCTTTCTCTCTTCACCTCTACCTTTTGGACCTTCTGCTCTCTTCAAGGTTTAGCTCAAGCAACTCCCTCCAACAACTTTTTACTGATTCCCCTAGTTGTTATCACCAAATCCCAATAAGCACAATATAGTAGAAATATTAATGAATATGGAGTCAGAAGACCTAGGTTTAAATCCTACCTCTGACACTTAACAATCTATGTGACCTTGAACAAATCATTTAATCTAGGTTACATGAGCCTCACTTTCCTCATCTGTAAAATGAAGGGCTTGGGCTACATGGCCTCTGAGGCCCCTAACAGCTCTAGACCTGTGATCCTAAGACCTTCTATTTATTTATCTGGGATTATATATTCCTCCAAGTAGACTGTAAGCTCTTAAGAGTGGGGACTCCCTCTCTTTTGGTCTGTCTCCCTACCCCTACCCTCATTCTCTTTCTCCCATCCTACCCCCTAGGTAGATGGATGGATAGATTTTACTTTTGTATATATATTCTTACTTGGCGCCTAGCACATAATTAAGACACTTAACAGATGCTAGCACATAATTAAGACACTTAACAGACAGCTCAGTGGCTTAGTGGATATAGCACTGGAACCACGCCAAGTATACCTAAGTTCAAATTCAGCTTGGATGAGTCAGTCTTGGTTTCCTCATCGGTAAAATGGGGATAATTATAATACCTACTTCCCAAGATTATTATGAGGACCAAATAAGGTTATATTTGTAAAGAGCTTTGAAAACCTTAAAACATTATATAAACACTCATTTCTCTTCTTCTTCTTCTACTACTACTGTTACTGCTACTACTACTATTGCCACTACCACCACTATCACTACCACTAATTGAAATGTCAGGGCTGGGGTATTTGGGAGGGAAGGGTCCACACCTGCGATTTCATTGTTGTCAAGAGCTCTCAATGTAGAAATTTCACAGGTGCAGATGGAAAACTCATGTGTAACTTAGAGTCTTAGGTAGCTGCTAGGGGGCAGTAAGAAGTTAAATGCCTTGACCCTGATCACACAGCCAGTATGAGTCAGATGAAGGACTTGAACCAGGCTTGTCCTGACTCTAAGGACAATCCTCTATCTGCTACAGTATTATGGCAGTTATTATGCACAAACTTTTGGATTGAGGCATAATAGAAAATGACCTACTCAATGGTTTGGGCATATTCTTATCCAAACAGCAGAGGGTGGGCTAGCTGCCCCCCAAGGCCCTTGCCCGGGCCTAGGCTTCTATAATAATCACCCTTCCAAAGCTTCAAGAAGCTCCTTATCCAATGCCCATTCTGCTGCTCAGCATGGAGCCTGCGCTATGGGTCAATATATAGACCCAGGAAATCTTCCCCCGCCAGACTTATCTGCTGGTGCCTCAAATAAAACCCAGTGGCATCTGCAAAAGTCAGCCTCACTCACTGATAGAATTATCAGGAACAGGAAGAACTGTCATCCTCTGAATTGAAGAAAAGGTACTTTGATTTCTGATAACTGGTGAAAATAGGCATCTCCCAGCAGCTGCAGCAAGGGTAAGGATGTGAAAGAACTTAATAGGAATCTCAGCATCTACATTCTCTGCAGCCAAAGACAGCGACCAAGTGAGCAGAGGACAACAGAGGAGGAACCCACGGGCAAACCAGAGCTATGTTAGCTAACCTCATAGTGAGCAAAACCCTCCGAAAACACATGAGGACTTGGGGCAAAGCTCAGAAGCTGTCTGGGGCCACAGATCAAGGGCACAAAGAGGGAGGAGAGAAAATGCTCAGGTGGCTTTTGGAGGCCCCTGTGTCCTTAACCCAGGGAACAAGAGGGACACACTCAGTGGCTAATGAACCTTTGTCCTATTCAGAGCTCCAGATACTACATGGTAACATCCAGGCTTCCTCAGGTCCCTTTCCTGTCCCTACCCCTTGTCATTAGCTCTGTACCTAGCTACTGTCTTCTTCCCAGAAACAGGATTCTCCATTGGTCAGCTGAAGGGCTGACCTTTTGTTAAGGTATAGCTGTATTGTTCCACAAAAAAGACACAATGGCAGGAGACAAAGGGGCATTATTCTCTGGCTGACTTAAAAAAAACACCCAAATTTAGCTCTTGTTTCAAAATTTACGTCCATTCTCCTACACCATGTTTCAGTAGTTATCTCCAAAAAAAGCATTTGATTCTTAAGATGAGGCAGTTAAATGGCCTCCATCTTCCTCACGTTATTTCTGTGCCTTGTAAACCTGTACAGGTGGGAGGAGGGGGCTAGCTATCAGGAGACCTAACTCCGTCATTTCTCACTCTGTAACCCTCAGCAAATGATTTCCTTCCCTTCCCTGGTACTTGGGTACCTTGGTGGCCAAAACCAGACCCTGCCACCTCAGACTTTCTATACTTTGTATGGTTCTGTGAGATGATTTCTCGTTCAGATCACACGGACAGAACATGGGCTCTGAAGTCAGAGGATCCAAGTTCAGATCCTTGCATTACCTATGTGACCTTGGGAAAATGATTTCAACTCCTCGGACTTCAGTGTCTTCGTCTGTAAAATGGAGGGCTTGGAATATATGTATATGTATATGTACATGCCCCTGAGGGTCCTTCCAGCTCTACAGGTCTGAGCCTATGACCTTTAGAGCTGGGAAATACTTTAAAGAACACCTAGTCCAATCTGAGAATTCAAACAATGACAATAGCCTCTCACAACTGATTCCTTTCCTGCCTGGGCACAGGCTGATGAGACACGTGCTAAAGCCACTTGAGGTGCCACGGGAGGGGAAACAGGCCACCCCTGACTAGCCAAGCCGAGGGACTATTAGTTTGTGTGGCACCAGTGCCTCATAATCTGCTCAGCTGGGCTTTCTACAAAGGGCCCTGGGGCACTGGTGGCAATAGCAGCCCTCAGGAGCTCGAGGACGTCCCCACATTGACAAGGCACCGGGATGCTAGCCATTCCATCCAGCTCAGAGAAGCAACACCCGGCTCTCTTAGCCCCACGTGCAGCCCCCTTCCCCCGTGGCTGGAGATTTGCCAAAACCACTGGGAAGCAGGGCAGTAACAACAAGGACACTAACGGGAAATGGAGGAAAGGACAAGCCAGAAAGCAAAGCAGATCAAGATGGCTGGCAGAAGAGGGCATGGGCCGCAAGCATGGCACTTCCCAGCTCCCGGGTGGATCCCCACAAGATAATGTATGGAACGGGTGGGGCCCGTTAGCAGCTGACCTGGTAGGTGGGAATTGTTGGCTCATGTTGCAGTAATTGGGCGATTGTGTAATTTCGCACACTAGCCAACTTAGCCTGATGTCTCCTTAATCGAATGAGAAGTAATGTTAACTCTTCAGGCTGCAGGTATGTAGACACATTGTAAAGAGGAAATTAGCCATCTGCATGCAGCGAGGATCATCATAATCACGCTCTCCACCGCGGTGCTGGAGAAGCATGGCGCTGGACGCCACTAAGCAATTACTCCATTAATTCTACCTTTTAGCTCAGATGAGTGCAAGAGCAGATAAAGAGGCTGCCTGAAGCCCAGTGTGAGGGTCAAAATCACCAGACTGTGCACATGGCCAGATAGTTCACAGTTAATGGCAAATTATAAGAGTTAGAGCCAAAGGAAGAAAAGCTTGTGGCCAGAAAATACCACAAGCTCTTAAGAATCCGCCCTGGGAGAGAATTCAGTACAATTTTTCAATTCTCCCTGCTCTCATCCCACCAACAACATAGCTTCCCACCAGCATCCCCCACTCCCCAACCAGCTCAGCCCTACCCATGGCTACTCACCGACTTTCCATGTAAACTGGGAGCACTAACAGTGTGTGTCATATACCCCATGGATGGCATGGAGCGCCTGTCCACATGAGAGGAGTTCTGCAGAAGGGAAGATGGGGGAAATCACACATAGAACAACCCCAGCCACAGGAAAAATGGAATGTAATGTAAAAATGTCCTCTGGGCAATGGGAAAACAAAGCAGCATGAGATTAGGAGTTGGGAGATATGCATTTCCAACAGGAAAAGCTTAGGGCTGGAAGGGATCATTTGGTCCAACCCCCTCATTTTAAGATGAGGAAAGTAAGGATCAGAGACATTTAAAGACTTTCCCAGAATCATCCAGCATGTCAAGGTCACAGGGAGAATCTGAACCCAAGACTTTCTGGCTCCAAGCCCAGCATTCCACTATACCACAATTCCTGTTAGCTTGCCATCTACCCTTGGAAAATCAACTTCCCCATCTCTGGGACTCAGTTTCTTCATCTAGAAAATGAATATAATTATAATAATAGCTACTTTACAGGGCTGCTGTGATGAGAAAATGAAATAGTAGACATGATAGCCCTCTGGAAGGACAAGACAGCTACCCACCTCTATGATAGGATCATGACTAATACTAATCATAAGGTGCAGCTAGGTGGTGCAGTGGATAGAGCACTGGCCCTGAAGTCAGGAGGACCTGAGTTCAAATCCGACCTCAGACCAAACACTTGACACTTACAAGCTGTGTGACCCTGGGCAAGTCACTTAACCCCAATTGCCTAAAAAAAAAAATACTAATCATAAGCCTCTACAAAAAAAGTAGCTATTTTATCCACCTATGCTATGGTCCATAGAACATTAAATAACAGCAGCATAGCAACTTGTCCCAGGACCATTTCTAGTAGAACTTCATCAAAAAAAAACCAATGAGATAACCACAAAAATGATGTTCACACAAAGTACCTGCTCTGATCTCCAAAAATGCTTGCATTTCACCAGTATCACCTTCACAACCTCTGTCCTAAGGGAGGCATTTTTGGAGAAGGTCTGAGCAGGTACTTTGTGCATGTCTGTGGACCATCACTGGTTTACTGAGTTGGAAAGATTTCAATATAGGCCTGCAGGCAGACCAGACGTCTGTTTTCTGAAGCCCAGCCTGGTTCAGTTCAAAGAAGGTCTTCTCCAAGTGGGTTGAAGGGAGATTAAAAAATTCAACCAAAGAATTCACTTAATAAGTCATGGAGGGGCTGCAATCTACATTGGTGAAGGGAGTAATCACATTAATGAGATAGCAGATCTTTGAAGCATGTTGCTAATATTACTACCAATACCTATGGAAATGAAGGTTGAAAACTAAAAATTAATAAATTTATTTTTAAAAAAACCTGAGACCTATCATAATAAAAAAAGTGTGCACACAAAAAAAAATTACTACTAATAATAGCTCGCCTTTATATAGCATTTTAAGATGTGCAAAGTGCTTTATTCAGATTATCTCCTTTAAACCTCTCACAGCAGCCCTGGAAGGTAGATGCTAGTTATCACCATTTTCTAGAATAGGAAACTCAGATGGATGAAGTGACTTGCCTATGCCAATAAGCATCTGACACAGAATTCAAACCGTGATCTTTCTGACTGCAGAGCCCAGAGTCCAATGCCTCCACCACACTGCCTACCTCTCTTAAGAATTTCCCTGGTTACCTTCTATTGATTATCTCCAATTTATCCTTTCTATAGTTGTTTGCATGTTGTCTCTCTAATTAGATTCTCTAGCACCTTGAGAGCAGGGGCTATCTTTTGCCTTTATTTTTATCCCCAAAGTTTAGCACCCAGTAGGCTTAATAAATGCTTTTGACTGACTGACTGAAATCACACATGATTTCATTTCATCCTCACAACAAGCCCATGAAACAGGAAAAATTATCATTAAGTCAATAAGCATTTATCAAAAGCCTACTGTGTGCCAGGCAGTGTGCTAGACACTAGAGATTAAAAAAAAACCCAAAAACAGTCCTTGCCCTCAAGAAGCTTATATTCTACAAGAGGAGACAACCTATATACACTATGTGTCTTACAAAAAAAGTATAAACAAAACATCATCCCCATTTTATAGATAATGAAACTGGGGCTCAGAGAAGTTATTAACTTGTTCAAGGCTAAGTAACCACAATACTATGATATAGACTCTCTCTTTGGGTCAAACCCTTGGCACATAGGGGCCAATACTTTCAAGCTCCAGTCTACCCTCAGCAAGAGGAATGCACAGATCAAAAGGGGGAGGAGAATGTAGAATGGTGGTGGGGGAAGGCACTAGAGGCTGCACAGAGATTTCCCTGTTCTCACCTTAAGAGTGTGGCCCCGGACCTTCCTGGGTGACCCCCCTAGGGAAATGTCCACACTCCGCCTCTGCTCCAGTGGTTTCACAGTGACTCGCTCAGCTGGCGTGTGTGGCCTCCGTGTTGGAAAGAGCCGGGGCGGGCCTAGGGGCGGGATGTCTGATGGAGATGGTGGCACAGAGATGGATCGAGGCACCTCCAGCATGCTCTTGCTCCGGCCCTGGTCGGCAAACTCTGGGGACCCTGCATAGATAGGGGCCGTGGGGTTCCCATGCTTGAACTGCTGCCTCTGCTGCCATTCATAGAGCTGCCAGACGGTGCCGTCCCGGTGCGCCCGGCGCTCCTCATTGGACATCTTCAGGTGGCTGGCTCTGTCCTGGGCATATTTGTAATCACTGGGTAAGTTGCGGAGTGGAGGTGGGGAACTGCCTGAGGAATGGCGGGTATTCTTGGGCAGGGTCTGGTAGTTCTCTGAGAAGGACAGGGACTGGCCAGGACCCTGCTGGAGGAATCGTATCTGGTCTGAGACAAGGCTGAAGAGAAGAGAGAAGGGGCTTGTCAGTCAACTCAATCATAGCTGTCAGTCAGCAGGCTTAGAGGAAAACAGATAGAAATAATCATAGAAAGGCCTGTCCACCAGTGTTGTTTCATCTTTATACAGTCTTGCATGTTAAGAATTCAGTCCTGCAGGTTAGAATTTTAGTAACAATTAAAACCCTAAACCCTGGAAATCTATCTTACCCTACAGGAAAATAGCAGAGAAGGGGATAAGAGAGAAGGGGATGATAGAAGGGAGGGCAGATTGGGAGGGGGTAATCAGAAGCAAACACTTCTGAGGAGGGACAGAGTCAAAAGAAACAATAGAATAAACAGTGGGTGGGGGGCAGGATGGAATGGAGGAAAATATAGTTAGTCTTTCACAACATGACTCTTATGGAAGTGTTTTGCACAACTACACATTTATAACATATATCAAACTGCTTGCCTTCTGAATGAGGGTGGGTGGGGAGGGAGGAAGGGAGAGAATTTGGAACTCAAAGTTTTAAAAATTAATATTAAAAATTGTTTTTACATGCAACTGGGGAATAAGATATATAGGCAAGGGGGTATAGAAATCTATCCTGCCCTACAGAAAAATAGAAGGAAAGGGGATAAGAGAATGGGGGTGTGGGGAGTGTGATAGAAGGAAGGGTAAATTGAGGGAAGGAGTATTGTCTTGAGGTGGGGAGAGGGGAGAGATGGGAAGAAAATTTGGAACTCAAAATCTCGTGGAAGTGAATGTTGAAAACAAAAAATTAATCAATTAATTAATTGATTTAAAAAAAAAGAAAAACAAAACCCATGGCCATTTCTTTAACCTTTTACCTCTTTGGAAGCAACCCCAAAATTTCTTTCTCCAATTCCATAAAATAAACATTTATTAAACATCTACTATGGGCAAAATTTCTCTCTCCAATTCCATAAAATATACATTTATTAAGCACCTGCTATGGGTAAAAATCTCTCTCTGCAATCACAAAATAAACATTTATTAAGCATCTACTATAGGCAAGGCACCAATAAAAAACTGGCAAACTCTCCTCTGTGTGTGTGTATATACACACATACACATATAAACACACACAAGCATGATACAAGGTGAAATGTGATGTGAGCAAAAAAGAAAAAGGATAATCATTATTCTCAATAAGAAAGTTTGAGAAAGGAGAGATCACTTCAATAGGTGAAGGAGGAATCTGAGATAACTTCATGAAGTCAGGAGATAACGGAGATGGGCCTTCAAGTCTGAGAAGGACTTTTGACAGTCTGAGAAGAGAAGAGAATGTGACTGAAGAATGGAAATGATCCCCAGAGGAGGGAGAGGACAGGATGAGATCATGGAGGGATGAGGAGTCCAGGTTAGCTTGAACTCTCACTATGTAAAGAGAAGCGATGTGAAATAAGGAGGGCATCATCTTGTTACTCCAAGCTTTCTCTTACAGGGATTCTACAGGTGCCAATCCTACATCTTCACCTGCCTGCTGAGTACATACATTTGGACATCCTCCCCTCGGTCCCCTGCCACTACTTGTGCTCAATCATTAAAACTGAGTTCATATCCCCACCCTCATCCACTCTTCTTCCTTATCTAAATTAATGGTGCCACCATTCTGCCACTTGCTGACACCTCGGAGTTACCTCTGACTCCTCCCTCATCCCTAGCATCCAATAAATAGCTGGTACTCTTGGGCTCAGTGTGGGATGGTAGACAATGCCTTGACTTACAGTTAAAATATTTAAGGTTCTAGTTCTGGTTCTAATAGTAGTCATTTAACCCCTCTGGGCCTCAATTTTTTCATCTGTAAAATAGGAATAATAATCCTTGTACTCTACTTACCTCAAAATATTGCTATGAAGAAAGTGCCTCTTTTTATATCCCCAGTGCTTAGCACAGTGCCTGGCACATAGTAGGTGCTTAATAAATGTTTATTGAATTTTAAGTGTTCTACAAAGAACATAAAATTAAATAAATTAAAACATAAAATGAAACTACTTTTTATTGTTTCTTTCAAATTCATACTTTCCTTTTCTCTCCTACTGCCACTATCCTAATTCAAGTCCTAATCAACTCTCACTTGGATTACTATAATAGTCTACTAATTGGTCTCCCTATTTCTAGTCTCTCTTCATCTCTAATCTAGACCACTAGAGTAATCTTCCTCAATTATGGCTTTCCTGACATCACTCTGCTGTTCAAAACCCCTAAGTGGCTTCCCACTGCCTAGACGATAAAGAATGGGGGGAAGTGGAAAGGCTCGCCTGGAACTCTAAATTCTCTGAGACTTCCTCTCTGTCTCTGTTTCTCTCTCTGTCTCTCTCTTTCTTTCTCTCTCTCTCTTTCTCCTCCCCTCTCAAGTTCGCTTTTCTCTATTCCCCTTAAATGTGCCATCCACTTTATCCAAGCCCATCACCTCACTGCTTTATGTACACTTGCTCTTCCCATCTTGCCCCACCAAAACATCATCCTTTCTCTAATTCTTCATGAAATTCCACACACTCTTCAAACAATACTTTTTCTAGGAAGCCTCCTTTGCTAGTCTTATTTTTCATTCCAATCTCTGCCCTAATACTTGGCACCTGCAATAAAAAAGTCTTCTTGAACCACCTGGCCTCTCAGCTCAACCTCCTAAACTCTCATGACCTCCATCTTTATTCCACCTCAGCCATATAGAGGGATGCTCACAAACTTGATCCAGTCATTGCTCAAAGCCAATCTACCTCCATGAATAAGAATCCTGAAATTCCTCTCTAATCACAACCTGCTACCTTGCAATCTCTCCCTCTGCCTCACCGTTCCTAAAACTTTCTTCTTCATTCTCACTACACCCACCAGTCTCTCAGTTTCTCTCTGTTCTCCCAGTCCATCATCCCCTACTGTCTTTCCACTTCCATCTCTTCACAGGTCTGACCTCATATTGACCAGTTCAAATGACACATTACTGGTTACCCTTGAGTCCCTTGCCCCAGTGCATTACTGGCAGTTTCATTTTATCAAACCCCAATCCGTGGTCTCCCTCACAATCTGCCTTCTCTATTCCTACCCTAAAGCTACAGAAAGCCACACAACCACGAAGACTGGTTCCGTGACAAATTTGTTACCAATCTCAAACGGACCCTTATTGGTCCACAGCAATTCTTTCTCTTCTTTCCTAGTTGACTCTCTCCTCCTTCTCCTTGCTAACCCATCCACTTGTGTTCCTGATCTTGTACCATCTTATCTCTTCCAAGAGTTCCCCCTTTGATCATTCTTATTCTCTATCTCTATCTCTTACCTTCCATCTCTCTTTATCCACTGGTTCCCTTCTCCCTACCTACAAACGTCCCACATCTTTGAAAAACCTTCACTTAACTCTGCCATTTCTTCAAGTTATTTGTCTATATCTCTTCTTCCTTTCATAGCCAAACAAAAAAGAGTTGTCTACACTAATTTTCTCAACTACATTCTTTTCAAACCCTTGAAACATGACTTTTTACTCCATCACTTCAATGAAACTGTTTTATCCAAGGCCATGTGGATGATGAACGGAGGTGAAAAGAAGAAAGGCTGGGGAATAGTCAATGAAAGAGGGAAAACGTCTTGGAACCTTGGAGCCTATCTGCAACGCAGTGTTACAGGACATCCAAGACGCCAAATTGTGCATCGGTCCAGCTCAGAAGTGGCATCTATCCTACTGACTCTTACTACTGGGAAAACCTCAAACCTAGGGCTAAAACAATAGTGCATAGAATTGAAGAAAATGAAAAAGGTCACCCACTTCCTTCACTACCAATAATCGAGGCACACAAGCTCAGAGAGGAAGAAAGGGTAAGGATCTAGCTAACCTGACTGATTAGATATGGGGCTTGACGCTATGCCAGAGGGCTCAGGATGAAACATGCTGCCTACCTCCCAACCCCCTCATTGCACTGTGATCTCTTGGAGACCAGGGACTGTTTATTTTTTACCTTTCTTTGTATCTTCAGTGCTTGACACAGAGACTGGCACATAGCAGGTACTTAATAAATGCTAGCTGATTGACAGAGAGGACGTGGAGTCAAGGTGCAGATTGAGGTATATCTTATTTGGACATGGCCAATGCTTATTTCGCTTGACTATGTATATTTGTTGCTTTCTTTTCTCTTTCATTGTGGGGAGGTAGATTTTTGTTAACCGAAAAAAATTAAATTTAAAAAAAGATAGAGGGTCAAGAGGCAATTAGATGGCAGAATAGGTTGAATACTGGACTCTGTGTCGGTAAGATCTTGAGTTCGAATCTTGCTTTAGATATTTATCAGCTGTGTGACCCCGGACAACTCACCCTCAAACTCAGCTTCCTTATCTATAAAATAGGGATACTAATAGCATCTACATCCCATCAGCCAGTCCCAGGTTTGCTGTGAGATTCAAATGAGATAATGTATATAAAGAGTTCAGCAAAACTTAGAGCACTTTCTGAGTATTAACTAGGGGGACTTGTCCTTTCTGCTGCTTACCACTAGATGGTGTGCTACGCTATTTAACAAATAGAATTTCATTCCCCGAAAAGATCACACTAAGGAAAGCACCTACCAGTAGGTGGTTGGTGGGTGGACGAAGGGAAGCAGGGCTGGAGCTCCTTAACCAAGGAGATGCCTAAATGACCTGCCGGCTACGCTATGTTTCCCACACTGAGAAATTTGTGAACCCAGACTTTTGTTAACCGTCATTCTTTCAGCCCCCGGGGAAAACTGGGAAGTGTGGGAAGTATGTCTGATGCCCTCCCACCTCCCTATTCAGAAAAAACTAGGCTGATTCTGTGTGTGAGTTTCTTTTATCCCACAGACATTTCTTCCTCTAGAGAATTCTCCATCCAGAAGAAGTCTGATGAGGTCAGAGCGTTGGTTCTAAGGACATGAGCTCTGATGTCAAAGATGAGGGGTGCCACCCTGGCACTGATGGAAACCAGTGGGAGGAAGGATACAGATAATTCTAGAACGCAGTAGAGCATTGTACTTAGCCCAGGTGGGGTATGGCCAAAGAGGGGAAGGGCCTCTGCCATTTGTCCTCTGGCCAAAGAATCTCTTGCTATATCATCATCAGCTTTTATCATGAAGACAGGCAGGTAGCAACAGGGGAGGAAGGGGCTGGATGCAAATGAACGCCCACTTCTTTTTTAGGCTGAAAGAGAAGCCCGGATGCTCATGATAAATTAAAACTGGCCCCGCAGGCCTTTGGCAAGACTTGGACACGAAAGCCCTCAAGTCCTCTGTGGTGAGAGATACCAGCAGGAGAGGGAGGACAGGGGTTTCATCAACCTGGCCATGGTCTCAGCTCTTGCACCTGCTTCATGGGGAAACAGGGCTGGGCCACAGGGGCTCAGTCTGCTCAACCACCTGGGGCAAGTTCCAAGGAATTCAATTCCGTTCCATTCCAATAAGTACCTACCATGTGCTGAGCTGTGCACTAACAGAAACTAGCTGACCACCTACTTGAGAAAGCCACAGAAAGGAGCCCTCCTAGGGGCGGGAGGTTTACCTAGCTGACCTCTGAGGTCCCTCTGCTTCTGAAATTCTATGAAGAGAAACACAGTAAAGTAAATACTGAATGAAGTGATATGACACGTCAACAGGAGGGCCTCAGTCAGAACAGGGCCTGGGAAAGGCAAACCATCCGTTTGTCCGCATCTCAATATAAAATCTGAAAGGGACCTCAGAGGTCATCTGGCCCAACCACCCCACTTTCTAGATGGGGAAAACTGAGGCTCAAAGGGGCTACTGGACTTGTGCAAGGTCACACAGCTAATAAATGTCAGTGCCAGGATCTGATCCCAGGCCCTCTATCTCCTGTCCAGCTCTCACTACTCCGAGATGCTGTCAGTTCCCCCAAGCAGTCAATCGACAGGAAACCTGTTCCCCTTGGGCCACCAGACAGGATCATGCTTTTCCTATTTCAATAAGAAATAAGACTTGAGAGAACAGGTCAGCAGCCTAGCAGCCCCCAAAAGCAATGTAAAATTAAAAAAAAATTTCTTTAAAAATCTATTTTGGGAAAAAACCACAGCTGATATCTTTCCTTCTCCTTGAGTCTATTTCACAACAACTTGGGTATCATGACTGGGGCTCTTACCCCTCCCATAACTTACCCACCCCGGGCACCTGCAGCCTCTGAGCTCAACCCCTGGCCCACTGGCTGAGACCACCAAGGGTACTCATACCTGACCCTCCAGTTTGTTCTCTTTTCCAGGGAGCTCCGCCATCCCCAGTGAGCATAGGCAGAGGAGACAGGGCTTATGAATGCAGAGACTCAAGGATGCCTATTTAGAACGTTTTCATCAGGCTCAGCTGCCGCTCAGAGTTCCAATACCAGCATGCCAGCCTCCGCACCCCCCGTGGGGCTTGTGGGCTGGTGTGTGAATGAACAATGGGCATCTTTTCTGCTTTTCCTTTCTTTACTTGTTTTTGGAAGTCCATTTGACGAAAAACAAAAGCAGAAACGAAACCAAAAACTGTGCAATTACAATGAGTGAGCTTGGTCCCCAAAAAGGACAGCAGAAAACATCCCCCCCACCTCCCTCCTTTGCAGGCTGTAGTATATGGTCAGACTCTACATTGCTGGACTACTTTTTCCTCCTTTTTTTTTTCTTTGTTATAAGAGATGGCTCTGTGGGGAGTGTTTGGAGGAGAAATATATTTGGAAATGATGATACAAGAGCAAAAGATATCAATAATATTTAAGAAGTCTGTTTGATTGGAAAGGGCTGATCTAATCAGGGATTTTTGTTTCTTTTAAATACATTTTTATTGATATATTTTGTTTTTCTGTTACTGAAATTTCCCCCTGTAGCCTGCTTTTTTTTTCCACTCCAAGAGAGTCATCCCATATAACAAAGAATATTTAATCAGAGGTTTTCAAACGTAGGGCCTGAGAACTTTAAAAATATTTTTAATAACTTTTATGTTAAAGTAATTGGTTTTCTTTGTAATCTCATGCATTTTTATTTTACACATTTAAAAACATTATTCTGAGAATAGGCTTCACCAGACTTCCCAAGGGAGGCATCTGTGTCACTCAAAAAAAGGTTAAGAACTCCTATCTAAATTGCCTGGGGAAAGGTACTGTAGCACCATGTCATTCATTCACAACTTAAATACGGACAGACCTGCTACCCCTCAACTCTGGGGGACAGGAAGAGAGACAAGGTGACCCAGAATTCCTCAAACTTAGGAACAGCCTCTAATTAAACCTAAGTGTTAGAGGTGGCACTTCCAAAACCTCAAGTGTTAGATGGATTTCTGAATTTATTAAAAAGAGGCTGGCTGAAGAGATGATAAGGTTTAATGTAAATACTCAACAGGCATTTCCTTCTTTCCAGGCTGATAATGAAAAAAGGGGACAGTATTTACTTTAAGAGCTTCCAATATTTCTAGGATATACAAAGGCAGTGCCCTGAGATGGTAGGGTGAATGAGATATTTGCAGCCCTCTACACTTACGGAGGCCTGCTCTCTGAGGAATCAACCTCAGAACTGGATTTGTTCGCTGGGGGTTGGGGTGGGGAAACCATGGCTCAAAGCCCTGGTCTGTTACTGACCTTTTGCCGTCTCCTTTCTGCACCTTCACCCAGTTCTCCACCTGCGCCATGTTACTCCTCCTCTGGGCATGCTTTTCGGGGTTGGCTCGGGGATGGATTACCCTGTTATACCCACCAGTACCATTCTGCTCCCCAAGCCCAGAGCCCCCACCAAAGGAACTAGGCAGCACGCCGTTCCTCTCCATTAGCTGAGGCTGGGCCGACTGAGCCCTGGGACCACTGGGTAAGTCCACAAAGAAGGAGTCTGCCTCAGCTGCTGGGTAGGGGGACTTGGACTTCCCCCTGTCCCGCTTCCCCTCCAGAGGGTCCCTCTGGAAGCCGTAGCGTTCCTCATCGTCTTGCTCGGGCCTGTCAAAGCCAAAGGCATCATTGTGGGCTCGCTGGGAGCAGTCCCTGGTATGTCCAGGGCCCATGCGGCCACACTCTTGACAGGGGTCTGTATGGTTGGCTTGTGGGACAGCTTGCCGCTCTGTCCTCTCGGCATCCCTACAATGATAGTACAAAACTGGTCTCAGTGCAAGCAGGGTCAGAAGGCCAGGTGTGGCCAAAACTGAGCCCAGCTCCAGAGGGTCCAGCTGTTAGTGAAGTCTTGGTTGAATGTCCATACAAAGGCCTGTAGCGGACAGATAGCCGCATAGTGTCTTCATTTCAAAGCTACTCTTCCAGTTGCAGCCCAAGATCAGCTCCCTGTACTTGTAAATTGGCTATATTTTTACATTTCTGTTATGCTGTATATATGGACTAAATGCATCTACCTGTGTTAACTAATCTTTGTTTTCTCATCTGTAAAATGGGGGAGGGGAGTAGATTTTAAAAAGCCACTTCCAGGGTACATAATGGGTTTGGTACAAATACAGGGCCAATGAATAGGAGTCAGGCAGAGACAGACTAATTTTAGCTCAATATAAGGAAGGAAATGGTGCGGTAGAAGGTAGGCTAGTTTTAGAATCAAGAGACTTTTGTTTAATTCCTGGCTTGGCCACTTACCACTTCTCTGACCACAGGTGAGCTGTTTAAGCTTCCTGTGCCTCAGTTTCCTCATAGGCAAAATGAAACGGTTAGACTAGATGACCTCTAAGATCCCAACTCGAAATCTATTCTCCTATGAGTCTAAGGAGCAGCTTATTGACAATTAATCATTCATCAAGCAAACAGACTTCCTTGGAAGGTGGTGAGCTCCGCAAGCTTTGAGACCGGATGATATATGGAGGGGATTCATTTTTTCAAATGGAGGTTGGACTTCAAGGTCCCTTGTTGGTCAGAGAATCAATCTATAACTTAGCAGTTGTGGCTTTAGGAAAGGATCCTGGGAACTCCTCATTCTCTTTAAATCACTGGCCACAGAGGTTGAATAAACTTCCAAAAATTACAATCCAGAGGACTGGGCCCCTCCTTCCATTTTTTAGGACCATCCCAGCAGTGAAGGTTTTTCTGATTAGAATGAAATCTCTTTCTTCCCATTCTATTAACAGAGAGTAAATAAGCGTGCACACACACACACACACACACACACACACACACACACACACCTTACAGCCCAGTAAGTGAGTGCATCATGGTGTGGTAGAAAGAATATTGGTCTTGGAATCAGGAGAGACTTGAATTCAGATGCCACTCTGGAACACAAACTGGTTGTGCAACTATTGGCAAAGAACCTAACTTTCCAAAGTCTCAGTTTTCCCACCTATAAAATGGGGGGAATGACATGCCACAAGACTCAAATGAGATAATGTATACAAAAGCCTTCTGCAAACCTTAAAGTGCTATAGAAACACGAGGCATTAATAGAGAAGGAAAAGGAGGAAGAGGTGGCAGGTACCTGGCGGCAAAGTGGAAAGACGTGAGTTCCAACTCAGAAAGAATTCAAATCCAGCCACCCACTTAGTGGCTGTGTAACTCTAGGGAAGTGACTTATATTTTCCTCTTCTGTAAAATGGGGATAAGGATAGCACCGACCTCAAAGGTTGTTGTGAGGATAAAATGAGATATTTGCAAAGTGCTTTGTCAACCTTAAGATTTGCACTATATAAATGCTAACTAATGATAATAACAACAATAATAATAACAACATTGACGCTATTGAAATCCTTAGAAAGCTTACGATGAGGAGAGGGGGCAGATGTTCTGTAACTCTAAATCAGCTTAGCCTTGGTGGATTGTGGCAGGGAGCATTTAGAGATAATCTCCAGCTCCTGAGAGCCAGGAACATGGACTCGATATTCACATTTCTAAGAGCCAGAAAGAGATTTGTGTTAATAGATTGCAAGGAAAAGAAGCCCAATTCTTGTGAGTTTGGGATATGTTGCATTCTTATTAATTTTTTTTTAAACTTATGGAAGCCCTAAGCCAGGTAAAGCAATTTTAATCAGCCCTTAATATTTGAGGAAGGAGGCAGCTAGAGAGCTGTGTGTTGATTTATTCTTTTCCCTGGAGTTAAATAGAGCAGTCCCCTTGGGGCCAAGGAGTAACCTATCTGTCACCTCTCCTACTGTCTGGTTCCAAATTAACACTGAATGTCATGACAGCTCTGAAAATACAGACTGACAACCACCAGCCCACCTGCCCCCATAGGAAGAGGCAGCTTGTCAAATGAGCCAGATTGCCCCAGGGTGCCAGACCACAGGCTGAAGGAACTGGCCCTGGGTGCATGACTATATGCAATGTTGGTTTAAGAGTTTTATGTTTCAGTAAAGTTGAGGAAGAAGAGTTTGAAAGGGCAAAGAGGCTTCATTGGCACAGCCTGGGGCTGCCTCCTTGGAAGTGACTCAAGCAGTTTTTCCCCAGCCTAGAGTAATGACCACTTGTCTAGGTAAGGTGTAGAGGGGATCCTTGCTCAGGGATGGGCTACACTAGACTGCCTATGCAGTCTCATTCAGTTCTGAGATTCTAAGACTTAGTACTCTTTTGAATAGTCTTAACACTCATACTTTCATTATGTGCTCAGGTTCTGCCTCAATTTCTCGTTCTGTAACAAGTCTTAGCCTGGTGTAAGCAAAGAGAGAATGTGCCAAGTAATTAGCAGGTGCCCGGGGCTTAGTATGCGCTTAAGAAATGTTTAGCGATTGACTGAGGAAGACCCAGATCAGATTTGTATAGTAGCCAGGGGGCCCTAGGGCTAGTTAACCATTTAGTGCCCCTAAGCAACACGCTAAGACCATAAATCACCAAACAGTTGCTGATTCCCTCTCCTGGCCACCCAGTAGGAATAGCAGTACCCACCAGCAACAGGCTGAGGTGACCCCAAGACTGAGGCCCGGCCCAGTACCTTCTTCCAGGTGGGGGGACCTGGTGGTAGCAGCACCACCTATCTACTGATCTCCACACCCCCACGAGGAGCAGCAACGGGCTAGAGCTGACCTAGACCCACACCCAGATCCTCTTGGGTGGGGAAGCTGGCTACAGCATTGCCCAGCTCACTCTCCCTCAAAGGACTATCCAGCAAGAATGACTTGGGCCCTATATCCCTGGTGCTTCCCCAGCAGCAACACCTTCTAGAAACTGAGAGAATTCTTTTTCATCTGCTACCCACTACCGTCTCAATAGCTAACAATTACCTACCATCTGTTTCTCTCTGTTCCTGTATTAATCAATCACTGGCCCTTTATGATTGTCTTATTATCTCATCCCCACCTTCCTCAACCCTAGTCCACCATATTCCTCTCTGACGCTTCCACTGTGCCCTCTGGAATTCCAGTTCCATAAGGAAGACAGTTCTCTTTCTTTGAATCTCTTTTTCTCACATTCCTTCTTCCATCTACTAATCATTACCAAGGCCCCACTTGCCCCTGACGACACTATATCCCTGGCATTCCTTTCCATAACTGCTGTGCCTTTATCACCTCCCGCCCCCAAACACATACTCTGGTTCTGGAGAGGCAGGGGTCAGAATGCTGCTACTGCTCCTTCTAGACTCCTTTCTCCATTATTGCTCAACAATGCTTAGCACAGTGCCTGGCATATACAGCAGGAGCCTAATAAATGCTTGCTCCTTTTCCTCACTCCTCCTCAAAGTTCAAAGTATAAAAATGTTCCACCTAATCCAGATAATGGTGTCTGTTACACATGAGCCGTCCAGTCATTCTCCCTCATTTCTCGAGGAATTCAGCAGTGGGCTCACTGACTTCCTGTCCTCACCAACCTTTTATCAAGGGACTCCAGCATCGATGCTGATGTTCTCTCAAACACCTTAAAACCTCCACAATCTCCTTAAATCCCATCACCCGCTCCTTCACCCACTCAGTCATACATAGGGATGGTCACAATGGATCTTACCCTTATCCACAAACCTCCCATTGGACACTCCATGGCCCATCTCTATGCCTCTGAATTGGCCATCCCCCATGCCTGGAATGTTCTCCCTTCTTCACAGACTCCCTCTCTTCCTTTAAGGTACAGTCTTGTGCATGAAGCCTCTTCCAATCCCACCACATTTTACAGCCCTTCCTCTCAAACTATCTTATATTTAACGACTTTACATTTATGCTCATTCATTCTCTATTTATTTTGCATATACTTCCATATGTACTTCTTTACTCTTTTAGAACACGAATTCCTTGTGAGTGGGGATCGTTTCATTCTTTGTACTTTTATTCTCTGAGTCAGCGCCCAGCACACAGTAAGTGCTTAATAATACATGTTGGTTAATTGGATAATCTATCTTCATTGGTAGAGGCAATTTCCTGAATTTATCATATGCTTAAAAAGAAAATCAAGTTCTACTCAATAAAGATTTGCCATTTCATGTATAATTCTCTCCTCTTCTGCTATGTGTATGGGAATGCTCATTTTACTTGATGTTTTTTAAGTTCAGATTAAGACAATGGGATCAATGAAACCATATATATGAGAATGCCCATTTTATTTGGTGTCTCTCAAGTTCAGAATAAAACAAAATAAAATAGGGGCAGCTAGGTGGCACAATGGATAGACCTCCAGCCTTGGAGTCAGGAGGACCTAAATTCGAATTCGACCTCAGACACCTGACACAACTAGCTGTATGACCCTGGGCAAGTCACTTAACTCCCACTGCCTCACCAAAAAATAAAAATAATAAATAGCAAATAAAATAAAGGGTGTTTTCTCATTGGTGATTCTCTATGCAAATGAACTCACGGCTTTATCTCCTGCAAGCACCTCGAGGTCAAGATCTCTGCCTTATTCTCTTCTTTTCATTGTTTTCTTTTATAGGACAGAGCACAGGGCCTCACATTACAAACCAGAGCCACAATTAAGCTTTGCAGAAAAAAGCTGTGCCTTGTCTTCCCAACTATATTGTCGACTCTCTGAGGATGGGAAACATGGAAACATGCAGAGTTGGAAGGCTGACTTAAGGAGACATTGAGTCCAGCCCCTTCCTTTTACAGAAGAAGAAACTGAGCCCCAGAGGGGTTTGCCCATGTTCATATAGCTAGCAAGTTGTGGAATTGAATTTTAAACTCATATCTTTTGACTCTAAATTTAGTAGGCCTCCTCCTCCCCCAGAGGGCCGAGCACGGCACTAGGCACCTAGTTACTATCACGCCTTGGTGGACTGGATAGCATCCTACTGGACACGGAACCAGACAGGTTTCCTTGTGGACAGCAAATTCCCACTATTTACCTACACATTTGGTAGTGGGGGTTCCGGGTAAATATGACCCTTCAACCTTACTGAGTTTACCCCATGCATCAGACATGGATGGTGAAACCCTAAACTATAGGCCGGAGACCCTGAACTCCACTAAGCCCCAGTCAGGCCCTGTCTAATTAGTGCTTCCCTTGAGCCCCTAAAACTCTCCCCCGCCTCAGGGTTTCTACTCCTCCTGTCAATCAAAGCCAGGATCTCAGGGGGGGAGGAGGCAGAATTGCGTCTGTGCCAAACCCAGAGCTGGCTTTTCAAAAATAAATTCCACATTCCGGCTTGTTCAGTTGTCACCCGACTCTTTTGTCAAAACTGAGCAGCAGCAGACGGAGCCAGGCAAAAATAAATATGATTCCTGTTATTTGAGCTTTCCAGGCATTTGGGGGCCAGAGAAACACGAGCTGAATGCACTGGGAAGCGGGGCCAGGGTCCTTCTCAGAGAATTGAGGTTTTGCCTTTGGCTGGATGAGGATGCTGACATTTAAACTCATAGTTATTAATTTCTGCACTAAACCAGCCACTCTGCTGGGGTGGGGAGGGTTCTACACTCCAGTAAACTTCCCTTAGTCCCTGGCTTGTAAATTGATCACAGATTTAGAACTTGAAGGGGTCTTGGAGAACACGAAATCCAACCGTCTCATTTTACTGATGAGGAAACTGAGGCCCAGAGAGGTTGTGATTTGAAAAAGGTCGCACAGCTTGGAAGTGTCTGAGGAAGGGGTAAATTCCATAAGGGCATGGATTACATCTAATTTATATTCATAGTTCCACCCTCTCTTCACCTTCACCTCCCCCCTACCCCAAAGCCCTGCCAAGCATAGGGTCCTAAAACATAGTAGATGTTCAATTAATGTAGTGAAGACAATCCCAATGACTCTCCAGATGGTCCATTTTACTTTGGGATAGCAATAATTTTAGGAAGTTTTTTCTTAAACCCTGAAATCAGCATCTCTGAAACATCTACCCATTACCACATGATGATGATGATGATGATGATGATGATGATGATGATAATAATATCTAGCATTTATATAGCTATATAAATATGCTTAGCTCAGTGTCTGGAACATAGTTCACAGAATAAATACTTGTTTCCTTCTTTCTTTTATTTTCCTTATATGACGCTTTAAGATTTGCAAAATACCTTATGTACATCATCCCATTTGATCCTCACAACCGTCATGGGAGGAAAGTGCTATTCTATTATTAGCTCCATTTTACAGATAAGGAAAAGGGTCTGAAAGTGCATAAGTGACGTGCCCGGGGGCACAGGGCTGGTAAGTGTTAGAGGCAAGACTAGAACTCAGGCCTTCCTGACTCCAGGTCCAGAGCTTTATCTACTGCACCACCCAGCTCAGCTGCCTTTTGGGGCTGAGAATAAAAGGACTCTACTAATAGTTTCTCCTCCATCTGACAACCCTCCAATGCCTGAAGACAGGGATCGTGTTTTCCTCAAGTCTTCTTTTCCAAGTTAAACAGCTGAGGACCTTAAACTGATGACTCGAATGCCCAGTATTCCCAACATCTTGATCATTGTCTTTTGCAATAACTTCAGCTGGCCACTATCCTTCCTAAGATATGCCGTCCAGAACAGAAAACAATACCCCAGGGGCCGTCTGACCAGGGCAGAGGATGCCAACACTACCATCACTTTCCTCCTTCTGTTAATGTAGCCTCAGATCACATAAGTTCTATTGGCCACCCAATCACACTGATGACTCACTTACAGTCTATCAAATGCCATAGTCCTTTTACAAATTAAATAATGTCTAGGAATGCCTACATCATTTCTATATTTGTGCAGCTGATTCTTTGAAAGTCCAACTGTAAAATTTTACATTGATCCCTATTAAATGTTGTCATATTAGAGCTAAGAGATGTCATTAGTGGATAGAGTGAGCTGGCCACAGAGCCAGAAAGTCTGAGATTCAAGTACGTGCTGGCTGTGTGGTTCTGAGCCAGTAGCTTAACTTCTATCTGCCTCAGTTTCCTCAAGGCCCTGAGGAAGGACAGTTCAGTGGGGTCAGACTAGCTTTTTTTTTTTTTTTGCCTTTTTTTTTGGTGAGGCAATCGGGGCCAAATGACTTGCTCAGGGTCACACAGCTAGTGTTATGTGTCTGAGGTTGGATTTGAACTCAGGTCCTTTTGACTCCAAGGCTGGAGCTCTATCTACTGTGCCACCTAGCTGCCCCATGTCATAGTAGCTCTTGCTGGAAGGAGTGGATCATGGGCAGGGATGATACTCAGGAAAATGATGACATTGGCAAGGTTGTCTCAGCTCCTTTTTGCATCACTTCTGCTCGTCTCTCAACCCTCTTGCCTAGTGCATTCATGTTGCCCTGACCCCTCTTATCAGAGGGAAAACTGATCTGTCAGGTTATGGGATATAACAGGAAAAGCACTGAACTTGAAGATAGGAGATCTAGATTTCAATTCAACAAAAAATATTTATTAGCTCCTAACAAGGAGAAGACAATTTGCTAATATAATGTTGATACACGTAAAGTGCTCTAAGGTTTGCAAAGTGTCTCATTGGGTCCTCACAACACCCCTGTGAAGAAGTAGCTATTAGTTTCATCACCATTTCACAGATGATTTCATTCTACTAATAACCACTCTTTGAGGCTGGCCATTTGTCCAGGTCTGAATCTTCCTGTCTTACAATCCAGCCTGTGTCTCATTTGCTCCACAAAGTCAGCCCAGGGAGGGAACAGGACCTGTGCTATATAAAGGGACCCAAATAACTGACCTACACACCTGCCTTCACAGAGTCACACAATCTGAGAGTTGGAAGGGACCTCTGAGGCCATCCTGTCCAGCCTGTTTATCAAAAGCATCCCCACGAAATAAGATATACAGGCAATGGGGTATAGAAATCTATCTTGTCCTACAGGAAAATTGAAGGGGAAGAGGATAAGAGAAGGGAGGGGATAGAAAGGAGGGCAGATTAGGGGAAGGGGTACTCAGAATGCACACCATCTTGGGATGGGGAAGGGACGAGATGGGGAGAAAATTTAGAACTCAAAATCTTGCAGAAGTGAATGTTGAAAACTAAAAATAAATAAATTAATAAAATCAGAAAAAAAAAGTACAAAAAAAAGTGTCAAGGATGGGATCTGAACCCAGTTCTTTTGAACTCTATAGTCAGACCTCTATGTACTATGTCACCTTACCATTCCAAAGGCAAAACAGACAATAGGACAACAACAGTACCAGTGTTTGCCATCGTTTAGTTGTTTTCAGTTGTGTCCAATTCTTCCTGACCCCATTTGGGGTTTTCTTGCCAAAGATACTGGTGTGGCTTGCCATTTCCTTCTCCAGCTCATTTTACAGATGAAGAACTGAGGCAAACAGAGTTAAATGACTTCCCCAGGGTCACACAGCTAGCAGGTATCTGAGGTCAGGTTTGAACCCATGAAGATGAGTCTTCCTGACTCCAGGCCTGACGCTCTACCCACTGCACCACCTAATTGCTCTATAGTAGTACCAGTACATGTACTAAATAAGTAAATGAAAAAAAAAAGCATCCCCACTAGAACAGAGTCAGCAGATGATGAGAAAACTGAAGCTGAGAGGGATGTGCCCAGGGTCACAGAGCTAGTGAGTGTCTGAGGCAGGATGGCAATGTGGCTCTTCCTCACTCTGAGTCCACCTTCTACCTACTGCGCCAACCAGCGCTCTAAAGGTACTGGGCTGAGGGAGGAGTTCAAAGCCCAGCCCTTCCTATTCCCCTCAAAGCTATCTTCATCTCTAAAAGAGCTAGCATTCACACGGCACTTGAAGGTTTGCAAAGTGCTTTACAAATATTATTTCATTTTGTTCTCATAACAACCCTAGGAGGTAGGTGCTATTGTACTGCTCCCATTTTACAGAGGGGGAAACTGAGAGAAAACAGCTGAGAGATAAGCAGTCTGGCTCTGCCTACCTCACAGGGTTCTTGTGAAAAACCACAGGTTATATCAGCTGTGAGTTCCTGGAGAGCAGGGACTGGGGTGTTTTGGTTTTTTGGAATTTTTTGCCTTTCTTTGTATCCCCAGAACTTAGCATAGTGCCTGGCACATAGCAGGCTCTTAATAAATGCTTGACTGACAGTAAGTGTGCTTTGTAAACTGGGAAGCACAAACTTCAAAGATCTTTGTTGACAGTCACACTAAGATTTTAGGAACTTGATGTGTTAACGTCTGGGGAGAAAGGAAGGGAATAAGCATTTATGTAGCACCTACTGCACTAAACACTCGTACAAATATTATCTCCTTTGATCCTCACACCAACCCTGGGAAATGGTGCTGTTATTATCCTCATTTTACGAGGCAATCAGAAGTTCAGTGACTGGCCTGGGGTCACAGAGCTAATGAGTGCTTAAGGTCACATCTGAACTCAGGTCTTCCTGAGTCCAGGCCCAGCATGCTATACGCTGTGCCACCAACCGTCTGCTGGGAGTATTTTTACTTATAAAAAGGAGCTAAGGGAAAGAAAGACTTAGGCTGAACGTGAATGAACGACAGGATTTCAGGCACCTGTTTCAGGAAAGGGGACTACTCAGGTGCCCTTAAAGTTATCCCACAGAGGCAGAGACCTATTCTGCCCACATGTAAAGCTCGACACAAGAGGCATTTCCTCTGGAGCACTGACCGCTTCAACGATGCTCGAGACTGCAGCTGGGCAGCCTGGTTCATGGCTCTGATCCAGCCGCTCATATCTTCTTGAGTGTCGGCACTGAAATAGTAAGTTCTCATCCCCGAGTGCTCCGCTGGAAAATCAACGCCAGAAGTGTTGTACATGTGGGCCCGCATGCCATTGTGGACAGCCTGTAAATGCCGGGGAGGCAGATACGTGTTAGAGGGCAGAAAGCACGGGGAAATTCATATCCTGTGGGAAGGAAGGAAGGGAGAAAGAGAGGGGAGGAGAGAAGAGAAAAGAAAAAGGAAGGAAGAAAGAGAAAGAGAGAGAGGAAGGAAGGGAGGGAGAAAGAGAGAGGAAGGGAGAGAGAGGAAGGGAGAGAGAGGAAGGGAGAGAGAGGAAGGGAGAGAGAAAGGAAGGAAGGAAGGAAGGAAGGAAGGAAGGAAGGAAGGAAGGAAGGAAGGAAGGAAGGAAGGAAGGAAGGAAGGAAGGAGGAAGGAGGAGGGAGGGAGGAGGGAGGGAGGGAGGGAGGGAGGGAGGGAGGGAGGGAGGGAGGGAGGGGGGGGAGGGAGGGAGGAAGGGAGGGAGGGAGGGAGGGAGGGAGGAAGGAAGGAAGGAAGGGAGGGAGGGAGGGAGGGAGGGAGGGAGGAAGGAAGGGAGGAAGGAAGGAAGAAAAGAAGGAAGAGAAAGACAGAAAACATCATTCATGTCACATGGTCCTCTGCCCTGGAGAGTCTAACACTAGGCATGCCCATCCCCACGAGTTCAGGAGCACATCAAATCATTTTCCTAGCCCTGAAATACCAAAGGCTCCTCCCAGCATATGAAACACAGTGACAGACGTTTGTTTTCCTCTAAGAGTCTCACAGACTTTTATGTCTGTTTTCTATTTACTCTTCCCAAACAACTCGAGGAGGGTCCTACAGATGAAGTTTACACGAGAACCAGACTTTTTCCACACTCTCCCCTTAGAAAGCAAACATGCCTGGGAATTGCCGAGTCTGGGCTCTGCTGAAGCATGTATCTGCCTGTTTGGCTACCACTAGAATGAGGTCCAGAAATCTGCTGCAATAACAGGTGGCTTGAGGCTGACATTACAGCAGATGGCTAGCATTTACAAAGTGCTTTAAGGTTTGCAAAGCACTTTATAAATACTATCTCAAATAATAATAATAACAATAACAGCTAACTCATACAGCACTTACTATGTGCAGACACTATACTAAGCACTTACACAATCATTAGCTCATCTGATCCTCACAACAACCCAGCAAGGTAGGTGCTATTATTATCCCCAATTTACAGCTGAGGAAACTGAGGCAGAAAGGTTAAGTGAATTGCCCTCACAGATCTAGTGAGTATCTGAGGATAGATTTGAACTCAGGTCTAACTCCAGCATTCTGTCCGTCGAGTCACCATTAACAATGTCTAGGTGTTCAAGCTTGGAATTTGGCATTTCTTAAGATCCGCCCTCCCCACTCCCAAAAGAAAAGCACTTTTTCTACTTCCAAGGAAGAGAGTGACATAAACTTTCTAGGGATGGGCTGGCTGCTAGCTTTGCATAACAGGTTTACCCAATCAATGAACCAACAGGCATTTAAACACCCACTCCAAGACAGGCACCGTATTAGACACTGGAGCTAGAGACAGAAACAAACCAAGCCCCAAGATAACATGGTGATCTACTTCAAGTTACTCTGGGTTCTCAATTAGCAGCTGATGTTTCCTGAAGAAAGAAAAAGAGACTTCAAGTGGCCGATACAGTGACGGGCTGAAGGTGGCAGTTCAGACAGTCTGCAGTCAGCCAGTCCTCAGCCAAAGGGGTCAGTGAGTCCTAAAAGTAAGTATGTGTGAATACACAGCGCCCCAAGAGCCCAGGAGCATCCTTCAGTGTGCGGAGCGTCTTGTGCAAGGTGCGATATCTCAACCGGGATGGCAATGCCAGTCGATGTAAGCTCATGTATTAATGAAAGGGTGGCAGCGCTGCTGTCCCCAAGGTCACAACAGCAGACAGGCAATAAAGTTCTCTCAGATTCTGCTGCCCCTTCCCTCCCAGGGACTTGAAGGAGCTACAGGACCAAGCATGCCTTATTCTTAACAATAACAAGGAGAGATTTGGGAGTCACAGCAATAAGATACATGACTAAGGCAGATTTCAGGGAGAGGTTTCATTGACTAGCCCACAATAATAACAAACAATTCATATTTTTTTCTATAGCTCCTAAAGGTTTACAAACTTCCCCCTGACAATAGCCCCATGAAATAAAGAAAAGCCTTATCATCCCCACTTTTCAGATGAGGAGACTGAGGCTTGGAGGGGTTAAAAATGACTCACCTAATGTCAGATACCTAGTAAAGGGCAGAGCCACTCATAATCATGGAGTGTCCAAGCTAGAGGGGATCTTGGAGAGGTCTAGAGCAGGGGTTAGCCTTTTCTATATCACGGACCCCTTTGGTGACCTGGTGAAGCCTATGGAATAATGTTGGCCACCCACATTTGCAAGAAAAGGAAGGGTTCAATTTCAGTGGGAGGTTAGTGAAAATGATGATCTGATTTTCTTCCCATCGAATTTCACGGAATCCCTGAAATCCATCCATAAATCCATGAAGGTCCTGGGGACTCCAGGTTAGGAACCCCTAACCTAGACCAACACCATCATTTTATAGATATGAGAACTTGACTCAGGGCCACTACACGTGGCATAGCACTAGGTTTGCAGTTAGGAAGACCCGAGTCCAAATCTGACCTCAGACACTTGGGCAAGTCACTTAACCTCTGATTACCTCAGTTTCTTCAATGACCTTCCCCAGGGTTATTGTAAGGATCAAATGAAATAACATTTGTAAAGTTCTTAGCAGCCTTCCTGGCACATAGTAGGGTCTAAATTAATGCTTGCTCTCCCCCTCCCTTCTTTCTTTTCTCCCTCCCTCCTTTCTTTCTTCCCTCCCTCCTTTCTTTCCTTCCTTCTTTCTTTCCTCCCTCCCTCCCTCCTCTCACTTCCTTCCTCCCTCTCTCTCTTCCTCCTTCCCTTTTTCCTTCCTTCCACCCTCCCTCCCTCCCTTTCTTCCCTCTACACCACGAATACAAAGAACATTAGCAGCTTCATCAGCTCTTTTGGGACAGGAAGCACATCCCCTTATCCTACAGCCAGACACCCACACAAGGCTTGCAAGACTCCATCAAGATCCCAGTCAAGCCTTCTCCACCCCCAGGACGTGTGTTGTGCAACAGAAACGTCATAACCGGTCTCTGAAGGTTTATCATGGGATATTTTTATGGCTACTTTTATCTTGCTCCCCTCCCTGGGCCTGGAACAGTTATCTCTCCCCTGTTCTGCCTGTTAGATTTCTACCCCTCACTTAAAGCCCAGCTCAAACGTTACCTCTTCCATGAAGCTTCCCTGATTTGTCAAATCTCAGTCATCCCATGGCTCTTTGTTACACACCTCCAATATACTTAACATGTAACATTACGTAGAATAGTTATTTCTGTTTGTGTCTTATGCCCCTAGAATACTGGATTGATAGCAAGCTTCATGAGGGTAAGGGATCATTTCTTTATTTACATTTTGTATGTCCTCTTCCTAGTACCTAGCACTATGTTCAGATGAAGTACAAAGGTTCTTAATAAAATGTTCGCTGATAATTAATTAAGAAAGACGGACTGAAGTCATCAAACTGCAGAGAACAAACCTCTAACCTCACAAATGCACTGTCCATACCTTAAAAACTAAGGGTTCAGTGAAAACTCTTGGCTGAGTTTTTCTAAGAAATTCTAAGAGAGGGAGCGAGGGAGGGTGGAAAAGGACAGATGAAGGACAGTACAATGATAAACAAGGCTTTCCCAGAATACATTTTTCACACCTTCTGATGAAGTGTTAGCATATGGTATATAGAGTCTTGGGGAGTTACTTTGGGACGCTTGGGTGTTATAAAAAAGGCTGGTTGAACTGAATTGTTGAAATGTGTCGCTAGAGACTTGCTTTCAAGGAAGGCTTTCTGACTAATAACAAGTCTACATTCCACTAAGAGGACTGTCCCAAACCAGTTTGATTCAAGTCAAAAAGCAAATTAAGAATCAATTGTGTGCCCTATGTTATGATCCTATGTTGGGGGAGAAGGGGGCAGGGTGTACGTTTATATAGTTACAAGGTAGTACTTAGAAGCAGAGAACATTAACAATTGGGGAGATCAGGGAAGGCTTCCCAGAAGAGGTGACGCCAGAGCACAGCCTTAAAGGAAGATAAGGATGTTGAAAGCCAGAGATGAGGAAGGATTTATTTCAAGCATGGGGGACGTCTTGTGGGAGTGTATGCAGGTAGGAGGTAGAAAGGAATGTAGAGTGTATGAAAGGAAATCACATAAAATAAGACTGGAAATGTAGGTGGTCGCCAGACTGTGAGAGCCTTAAATGCCACGCTGAGGAGTCTGTATTTTTATCTTAGATGCAGCAGAGAATTACTCATGATCTTTGAGCAGAGGAGCAAAATGATCAGACCTGTGCCTTAAGAATATTTGAGCAGTTATGTGGACGATAGATGGCAGGGGGTGGGTGGGTGGGGATGAGATTGGCCGGGAGGGTACCTGGGAGGCTCTTACAATAGTCCAGGCAAGAGGTGATAAGTAAGGGTCTGCACTAGGGGAGGAGCTGTGTGAGTAGAGAGGGAAATGGATGCCAGAGAGGGTGGGAAGCCAGATCGAGAAGACCCGGCAGCCACCTGGATATGTGGGATGAGGGACAGTAAGTCCAAGATGTCTATGAAGATGCACAGTGGGGTCCTCATCAGAGAGAAAGCTGGAGGAGTTTGGAGCGTGGGGTCCTAATAGGTCACTGAGGCAGAAAGAACCAATAAGCAGCTGGGGATGTGGGACTGGAGTGAAGGGGAAAATGTAGAGACTTGGCAGCCATCTGTAAGAGATGATATTCAAATGTAGGGGGAGTTGCTGAGATAGCCAAGGGAGAAGGCATACAGAGAAAAGAGGGCCCAAGACAGAACATCTAGGGACACCCATGCTTAGGGGACAGGAGATGGATGGTAAACCAGCAAAGGAAATGGAAAAGGAATAGAGGAACAGTCAGGGAGAGGGGGAAAGGGGAAGGAGAGGGGGAAGGGTAAAAAGAGGAGGGGGGAAGAGGAGGGAAAGGGGAAAGAGGAAGGAGAGGGGGAAGGGGAAGGAGAGGGGGAGGGGCAAAAAGAGAAGGAGAGGGGAAGGGGAGGGGAAAGGGGGAGAGGTAGAGAAAGAAAAAGAGAGGGGGAAGAGGAAGAAGATTCCAATAGCCAAGGAGAAAACTGACAGGAAACCAAAAGGATGGAGCTGAGTTTTAAGCAGCCCAAAAGAAGGAATTCTAAGGTACCAAAGAAACTGGATAGACCTTGGACAAGTCACTTAAGTCTGGAGTACTCTGGGAAACTCCCTAAGACGACAAGGTGGCTTTTCAAAATCCTTGCTGGCCTGGTCCCTTCCTACTTCTCGAGCCTTCTTATACTTTCCTCCCCTCCCTGTACTCTGGGATCCAGAGACACTGACCTCCTTGTTATTCCTCATAGAAGATTTTGAGTCAGAGGCCCCAGGTTCAAAACCTGCTACTCACTTCTGCAGGAATTCGGCTGGGTCCCTTCTCATTTCTAGACTGTGGATTCCTCTTTTATAAATGGAAAGGGCGGGATTAGGTGATGTCTAAAGTTCCTTTTAATTCTAAATCCTAACTGTGCTCCAATCAGTACCATTCTTTACAAATAGAACATAAGAAAATGGAAGCAGACATACATTCACAGGCTGGGAAAGGGTTAAGGGGGCAGGAATCTCTCCTTCCAGAAGATGGGGTCAGACCACTCACCCTGGAGTATGTGTGAATGGGAGGCAGAGAAGGACCACAAAAAAATGATTCCTTTGCAGTTGGAGGTAGGGCAGTAAGCCCACCACACAATGAAGGATGAAACAGGCCCTGATCAGGTCCCCAGCTCTAGGACCCCAGGTAACCCCTAGTTCAACTCCAGGTCTATCCCACAGAGAAGAGAGAGTGGAAAGAAAAGCAGCCTGGCTTTCCCATAAGAACAAATTGTGGTTTCATCTCAACTCTGAAGCCAGCTTGTTTGTGGAGTCAGTCACTGAGAATTTTTAAATTCGTGGACCAAGGATATAACTGGCCCCCACAGGATCCCCAGTAAAAGATGGTGGGTATCAACATCTCACAGCCCTTCCAATAGCTGTGGCTAGAAACGGAAGTTTGTTTAATGTCGATACTGTTCCACAAAATTAGGTGACAAGGCCAGGATCTGTGCCCCAAAGCTCCCTTTCTGCATCACATGGACCCTGAATAGCCCTTGAAGCCAAGGTGGGGAGGGGATTTCCAAATAGAGATAGTCTGGGCTGTTCATCTCCTTGGAGAAGCAATTACAGCTGCCCATAATGGTCCCAGAGTCCCCAGTTTTGAATTCCTAGGGCTAGCATCATCAGAAGCCAAGAAATGCTTCCCCAGAATGTCTGTGGTTATAACTAATGAATAGGACCCTGGACTCTACCAAGCTTAGGCTCAAGGTTAGCTTTGTGGCGAGCCCCTGGCTTATAAGGAACAGGACAGAAGCCCTAGAAAAACTAGGGCCTAAGTTCTTCCGGAAATCTCACTACAAAGAACGGAGCTACAAAAGTATTTTATTTCAAACATTATCATGTAAGCCAGGTGATTTTTATTTGATTGAATTAACTTTCAAAAATATTTAAGTTAACATTGAAAAACATAATCCAAAAGACAAATCATTTATACCTTAAAAGAATACTTGCGGTTTATACGGTCTTCGGGCCCAACAGGAGAGATCACATAGCTGGGCAGTGGGATGCTTCCTAGGACGGCTTCTTCTCGACTGTCTTTGAACAGAAGAAGAAAAAAAAGATCAGGATGAGCCATGAGATCTCATCCAAAGGAGGAGGACAGCAAGAGTAAATCAACATACATTGGGCATACGTGATATACAAGGTCTTGTCCTGCGGATTAGACTATAAAGATGAAAAGCAACATGGTCTCTGCCCTCAAAGATGAGGATACCTTTTGCCTGAAAATCTTGAAGGTGAAAGGGACCTCAAAGGGGATCTAGTCCTAACATAAAAGAGATGGAGTCTCCTCTCTAGCATTTCTGGCCAGTGGTCATCGAGCCTTGCCTTGCCTCACCTTGGAAATATATGCTGTGCTTGCAAGGAGATAGGACGAGGTAAGGGAAAGGGAGAGAGCCAGACATCGTCCTCGAGAAAAATGAAGAGAGCTGGGATTATCTCCTGCTGGGGGAAGGGCAGGAAAAGGAGATAAAAGAGATGAGGGAAGGCATCATGGAGGCTGAGGTGGCACCTGGGCTGATCCTCAAATAGAAGAACAAGTTTCAACAGGTGGAGATAAGAAGAGACAAGAGATAAGCATTCTCTCCCAGAGGGAGAGCCAAACAACAGGTTACAAAATGAACCAATTAAACAATAATAACAATAATAATAGCTGACAAGAGGCAGCATGTCATCATGAGGTTGACTTCAGGAGCAGGAAGACTTGGGTTCAAATCCCACTTCTGACATCTACTGGCTGTGTGACCCTGGACAAGTCACTTAAGTCTGGAGTACTCTGGGAAACTCCCTAAGACGACAAGGTGGCTTTCCAAATCCTTGCTGGCCTGGTCCCTTCCTACTTCTCGAGCCTTCTTATACCTTCCTCCCTTCCCTGTACTCTGGGATCCAGAGACACTGACCTCCTTGTTACTCCTCATAGAAGACAGGGCACCTCCTGATTCCCAACATCTCTGGCTGTCCCCCATGTCTGGGCACTCTCTCCCTTCTCATCTCTGCCTCCCGGCTTTCCTGGCTTCCATTACCTCAGCCAAAGTCCTGCTTTCTGCACAAAGCCTTTCCCAGTCTCCCTTACTCTCAGGGCCTTCCCTCTGGTGACTATCTCCAATTTGTCCCGACTGCATCTGGTTCCTATATAACTGTTTGCATGCTGCCCTACCCCACCCCCATTACACTGGGAGCTGCTTGGGAGCAGCCGTTGTCATTTCTGGTTTTTTGCATCCCCAGGACTTCAAACAATGCCTTTTACATAGTGGGTACTTAATAAATGCTTATTGATCGACTGAAGTTGTGGAACAGTTGATTAGCACAGGGGAGGCAATGTGGTCCAATAGAAAAAGCAGGGGATCTGGAGTCTGAGGGACTCTGCTTCTGAAGCTTCCTGCCTGAGTGAGCCTGGGCAAATCATTTAGCTTCTCTGGGTTTGGGCTTCCACTTCTGTAAAATAAAAAGGTTCCAGGGGCAGCTAGGTGGCGCAGTGGATAGAGCTCCAACCTTGGAGATAGAAGGACCTGAGTTCAAATCTGACCTCAGACACTTGATACTTACTAGCTGTGTGACCCTGGGCAAGTCACTTAACCCCCATTGCCTAAGCAAAAAATAAAATAAAATAAATACAATAAAATGAGGTGGTCCCTTTTAGTCCTAAATCCTATAACCTCATGGTACACAAATTCCCCCAATAGACCTAGTCTGCAAAGTTGCTGGCACCACACTTACTTGGGCCAGCCAGCATCTCCACCATCTGTGGGAAATCATTTCAATTTTCCGGGCCTCAGTTTCCACTTCTATAAAACGAGAAGTTTAGACTACATGGCCTCTATAGCGCAGTCCAGCTCTATATTTATGGTTCAATACATTGGTAGAGGGGACTTCCTCACTTCCCTACACCATTAAAATAATTTTTTTAGTTGTTTTCCATTGTGCCCAACTCTTCATGATCCCTTTTGGGGTTTTCTTAGCAAAGATACTGGAGTGGTTTGCCATTTCCTTCTCCAGCTCATTTTACAGATGAGGAAACTGAGGCAAACAGGGTTAAGTGACTTGCCCAGGGTCACACAGCTAGTAAGTGACTCTAGGCCTGGCAGTCTATTCACTGAACCATCTAACTGCCCCAATGAAATCATAGGTCTAGTTAAAAAAAATCATTAAGTCTAGTTTAAAAAAACACACACACACACAACAAAAACTTGAAGGTCTTCAAAGTGTTTCATGCACATCCTTTCATTTGATGCTCCCAACAACTTTGTGAGGTAGCTGCAACAGCTATTATTTTCTCCATTTTACAGATGGGTAAACTGAGGCTCAAAGGTGTGAAAGAGACTTTCTTGTGATCACTCAGCTAGTACTTATCAGGGCCAAAATTTGAACTACGGTCTTTCTTGACTCCAACTGGCAGTATACCAATCTTGCCTCTGAACAGTAACATTTAATAGGTGACAATGCTGGACAGAACCCTGTATTAGGCATTAGGAGAAATGCAATGTAAACATATTAGATTAGGCAGGTCCTTACCCTTAGGAGTTCCCATTCTAATAGAGAGATGAGATCCCTCAGACAAGACTGTAGCACATAAGGTTATACGGAGAGGTACAAATTCAAGCATTATGTGAGGTCAGAGAGGGAAAGGCTAGTACCCACTGGGCGTCAGGATTGGGGCAGTGGTTGAGCTAAAGATGAATAGGATCAAAAAGGCCTGGGTTTGGAGATGGAAGGGATTCAAGGGGTCACCTGGAAATTCACAGAAGAAACAGAAGCAGATTTCTCCTAGATTATAAACTCCATGAAGGCAGATGCTGAGTTCTCTGCCTACCACAGTGCTCTACATACATGTGCTCAACATATATTTAGGGCACTGAATTACATGCCTCGCCTGTGCACACACATGTATGTATTCATCTCCTCTTAAATTTGACCAGAAAGTTTCCACAACAGATCTGTGCCCTCAGTGGGATAGAATTTGGAAGGACTGTGGGATGTGCAATAGTCTGTAAATGAATCAAACTGAATAGGATGTAAATAACTCAGGCACCTCATCCCTCTTCCCTCCCTTTGCTCTCTAAGCTCTAGCCAAGCTAGACTTTTCTCCGTCTCCCATTTTCATCCTGCCTTCTCCCCTATGCCTATGCCTTTGCTCTCCCCATCCCCTGTGCTTAGGATGCCCCCCCTTCCCCTCCTCATCTAGTTTGTTAAAGTCTTTCCCTCCTTTCAAAGACCAGCTCAGAAGCTACCTCCTCCATGAAGTCTTCCCTGGCTGCCCGGCCCACCTAGTGAGGGCCATCTCTCTTGCCTCATATCACACAGTATTTTTAATCTGCACTCTCTCTCCTATTTTATTAGCCCATCCTTGCTAGGCTGGATTATAAACTTCTTGAAGGCAGGACCTGGGTCATCCCTTTCTTCATATTCTCAGTGCCTTGTACAGTAGGTACTTCATATAATTTTTGGTGAACTGAATTGCTAAGACTACCAGGGACAGAGACGGAGAGCAAACTCTTCTGGGGGCTGCACTTTCAGTGACCTGCCATCAGCTAAATGTGGGAACAAGATAACAACCACAAACTAAGAGCCCCCAGAGTAATTTAACTTTATCAGGCTCAGAGACATCTAGGTGGGTCGGCAGCCCTGGGCGCCTTGATGAAGACGGAAACTGGCCAAAAGAAGGGACTTTGTTCCCACTTCTTTCCCTGCCAGTGAGAATGTCTGCTCACCTTTATAGTAGAACAAACAGTAATCAGCAAGCACAAACCATCTTCTCTTCCATAATCGCATCCCAGAGCTGTCCTACAAAGCAGAGCAAGCCAATTCAGAAGGACCCCTGTGCACGGCCCTCCCCACCCTATCACTGTGGCACAAGTAATCAAGTCTCATAATGTAGCCTTTGTAATAAATGTAATAATAATAATAATAATAATACATTTCCATGGGACTAAAGAGTTTACAAAGTATCTTTCTCCCAACAACCCTGGCAGGGAAAGAGTATGAGTAATATATTGTGCCCATTTTATAGATGAAGAAACTGAGGCTCAAATGGGTTGACTAAATTACCCAAGTAATGCTTCCTTTAATCCTCTAGATCAGCAGTGGGGAACCTGCGGCCTCGAGGCCACATGTGGCCTTCTAGATCCTCAAGTGCGGCCCTTTGACTGAATCCAAACTTCACAGAACAAATCCCCTTAATAAAAGGACATGTTCTGTAAAACTTGGACTCAGTCAAAAGGCCGCACTCAAGGACCTAGAAGGCCACATGTGGCCTCGAGCCCCCAGGTCCCCTCCCCCTACCCTGCTCTAGATATTGCTTCATGGCCCCTTTTGTGACTGATGGCATGTGTCTCTTGGGAGGAAGCTACAAGAGTCCTCAGTGCTTTTTGAATGACATGTCTGTTACATGATCATCTCATGACAGAAATGCTTTGTGCATTTTTTTTTTTACTTTTTCTGGGGGAAGATTCCCCATCCCTAGTGCCTCTTCTCATTGTCTGAAGCCCTCACCTGTTTGTGCAGCCAGCCTCTCACCACCACAGGGACATTGGGGTTCCTTCTGATAGCCTGGTCCCTTTTTCCAAAGCTGTGGATTTTATTGGTCTTGATAACCTAGGAGAGGGACAAAATAAAAACAAAAAACCTAAAGATTTTAGAGCATTAGAAATTAGGAAGGTTTTAGATTTGATTCAAGTAGGAGCATCCCGGTCCCAGGAGCTGTGGTCCTTCCCACCTTTTTTTTTTTTAAACAACAGCAGCATCAAGGACCACCATTTGACTCAGCAATATGGAAGCCAGGGCAGTATCTTCCGGTCCTAGAAATGTATGGCCGTCACACGCAATAATGATCTCCCCAAAACAGAAGTGAGACAGAGAGAGATCCTGAGACCCAGAAAGATGGCCCTGGACAGACAGGAGCCATTAGGGAATCTCACAGGATTTACAGCTGGCCAATGTGGAACTTAGAGCTCATCTAGACTAACCCTGTCATTGCAGAGAATAAGAAACTGAAGTCTACAGAGGCTAAGTAACTTGCCTAGGTCACATAGGTCGTAATTAGCCACGCCAGGATTTGAGCACCGGTCATTAGATTCCAGAGGGGGAGCTAGGTGGCGCAGTGGATAGAGCACTGGTCTTGGAATCAGGAAGACGCATCTTCATGAGTTCCAATCTGGCCTCAGCCACTTACTAGCTGTGTGACCCTGGGCAAGTCACTTCACCCTGTTTGCCTCAGTTTTCTCATCTGTAAAATGAGCTGGAGAAGGAAATGGCAAACCACTCCAATGTCTTTGCCAAGAAAACCCCAAATGGGGTCATGAAGATTCAGACACAACTTAAACAACTCAACAATAGGAACAACAATGAAAACAGCTTTAGACTCCAGACTGAGTATTGCCAGCCTCCACCAGCAAACAGTGATCCCAATGCGTCCTTTGGTAGCCCGGGGCAGAGAGAGTGTGCTTAACCCAGCACCACTTACACAAGGAACAGCGACTGGACCAAGAGCCTAGACATCGGTCTCTGCAACAAATCCTGTGTGTCTTTGGGCAAATCATTTCCTTTCTCTGGGCCTATGAGCTCCTCCATAAAATGTGAGGACTTGGCTTCCGTAGGTCTCTTCCAGCTCTGAACTCCTATGATTCTATGGGATTTAATTTCTGGGTGTCTCCAGGTCCTCACTCAGGACCTTTATGCACGGGACGGCCTCGATAAACACAGGTGCCACAGACAAAAAGAAGGTGCTACCTGCAGTGTTAGTGTGCTGCACTAACCCAAGCTCTTGAGTACAGAGAAGTAGGTCCAGGTACCTTCAACCTCACTAGAGTGAACCAGAAACCCAAAATATGGAGTCCAGACTGAGTCTGGCGGGTCACTTGAGCTGGGGAGTTTTAAGCTACAGTGAGAGAAAGCTGATTGAGAGTCTGTACTGAGTCTGGTACCAATAGGATGAGCCCCCAGCAAGTGGGAAGGACCACCAGGTTGCCTAAGGAGGTTCAAACTGGCCCAGATGGGAAACAGAGAAGGCTCAAGCTTCAGAGCCAGATAGCAATGGGGCTGAGCCCATGAATGGCCACTGTATTTCCCGCCTGGGGAGAATGAGCCTCAGCAATAAATAAATGCTAAGTGGCGCAGTGGACAGAGCTCTGGCCTTGGAGTCAGGAGGATCTGAGTTCAAATCCAGCCTCAGACACTTGACACTTACTAGCTGTGTGACCCTGGGCAAGTCACTGAATTCCGATTGCCCCCACACACACACACCCTAAATAAATAAATGAACAAATAAATGCAATCAAGACAGCAAAAATTACATAAGTAAATGAAATGGGATGATGGGTGGGAGAGTTCTCTGAATAGCGAGATGTACTGTGCAAATAGGAGGGATCTTTCCAAAGTCCTCGCCCGGACTCAGGCTTTCACCTGGACAGGCCATGGTCAAGGTTACAGAGAAAGGAAGGGACAGTTAAGCCACCTGGGACTCACCCTTGGTCCTGATTTCATATCCAAAGTGGAGGTAGTTCCGACTGTGGACGTCTCACTGACCATGCTGGAGGGTCTCTGGTTCATAAACTCTTGCTTTGACATATGCGGATTCGGCCTAAAGACAGAAGGGAGAAGGAACACAGTTAAACATGAGAAGACCAGAGGCTGAAGGCTTCTGCCTGAGAAAGGGTCAGGGTCCACAGCAGATGTGGTACAGGCTCCATTATAGCAGCACTGGACTGGGAGTCAGAAGAATCCTAATTTTGTCATTTCCCACTTTCATGACTTTGGGTAAACCCTTTAAACTCCCTGGGCCTTAGTTTCCTCATATGTAAAAGGAGGGAGTTAGACTAGATGACCACTAAGGTGGTCAAGCTCTAGAACTATGATCCTGTGGTCCCTGTGGACTGACTGTGCACAGCTTTCATCCCTCAGTTTCTAATTTTTTTGGGGGGGGGTGAGGCAATCGGGGTTAAGTGACTTGCCCAAGGTAACACAGCTAGTGAGTATCATGTGTTCCCTCAGTTTCTAAAGCCCAACACTCTATCTGTCCATCAGCCAGACACAACAGGCTGCATTGGGCTGATAGACAGTGAATACATGCAGGCTCTTCAGACCCTGGCTCTGGAGCTGTCAAGGATGTCAGGGACCATGTACTCCAACTCTTTCATTTTATAGATGAGGAAACTGAGGATCAGAGACCCCCAGTGGTTTGTCCAGGGTCTCACAAATTCTAAAGATAAAGAGGCAGGATGGCACTCTGCATTGGATAATAAGGAGGGGGAGGGGCAGAATCATTCAATCCTGACAGCCGCTTTCTCCATCCCAATTAACACTCAGGGCACCCAAGCCCCTCTCCTCCTGCCCTTCACATGCAGTCTTTGCTCACAGGCGCACATCCATACATCTAGCTATCCGCACTCTGGTCAGTGCTTGGCACTCAGTAATCCATCCCTTACACATGCACACACACCTCCATCTGCCCAGGATACCAGAAAAAACTGTTTATAATTAGTAACTAGAGATGATTCCTTGCTCCCTGCCCCCCCAAATACACACAGACACAGAAATGCTTACATAAACGCCCACGGGGCCCATATCCCAAAATAGACCACATAACAAAGAATTCTATTCTGAGAACACTTCGTTCTCCCCAAAATAGAGCCTGTAAAGACGCTTAACCCTTTGTACGGCACCTGGGAAAAGAGGTGGGAATGCTGACCAAACATACCTCTGGACCAGGAGGAAAAAGAAAATGATTCTACTACTTCCTATCACACTGCTTCACTCAAGAAGCCCACCCAGACCCCTATGCCCCCTTCCTGAAATCGTCACAAGACACTGGCATTGAGGTTCTCCGTTACCTGCCTCTGAAAAGCTCCCACCCCCAGTCTCTACTGTGGCAGCTGTAAATACAGTCAGCAAAATGCCTCCAATGAAACTTTGGTACTCGTTCATGAAAAACAAAGAAGTTAGCCCGTGTCTCCCGCCCGACTCACCAATCCTCCTGTCTCCTGGAGAGGAATCCTCCCTCTAAGCGGCAGAGCTCAAGCTCCGATAGATACTGGATTCTTGTCTACCACTTGCCCAGCAGCCAGGCAAGGGATGCTCAGTGCCAAACTGAAGCTCTCCGCTTCGGGGCAGGTGGAAACCTGATCTTGGAGTCAAAGGGGGAGGCCGCCACACCCCTCCATGGCCTTGCAGGTTCACAGAAAACAGAGGCCCCTCAGCCCAGTCATAACCTGGGAAAACTGTCCAACAGGAGCCCAAGGGAAGAGTTCCAGGCTCAGTCGGGGGATCTGCTGATTCTCAAAACAACCCCTGGAATTAGGACAAGAGCTCTTGAGCCCCTAAGGACGGAGCTGGGACATCCCCCAGCTCTTCACAGAAGCAGTCTGTTCACCCTGCTCTCTGAACAGTGGCACAGGTAGGTAGGAGACTTCTGAAGTGGCCAGGCGGCCAGTTACTGCTAGCACTGGGTGGTAGGAGGCTTGCTCTCCACTAGGAGGGGGGAAAAAACCCAACCCCCCCCAAAAAAAAACGTCACTGCCTTCTTATCAGCTCAGGCACAAGCCTCCCAGATTCCCCACCCATTTTTTCCTTCTAGCCAGGCTTTTGGTTACTTCTTTCCACTGAGAAAACGTCACTGAGCCCAAAACACTCAGTTTGGGGACGGGTGGTGTTCAGCGGGGAAGCCAGCACAAATTCAGGAGGTGGGAAGGCATGTGGGAGGGCGCTGAGGCTGTCCCCTCGCCTCCAGTGAGGGCTGCTTCAAAAATACTTTACGTGGGCTTCCTCAATGGTCACGTCTATTAAGAGCCCCAAAGTTGCGCGAGAGGACGAATATTTATTCTGCAACCTCTCAATTACTCCATCTGAAAAAACCTATTTCCTTTCCCTACACTAGATTCTGGGAATGTTAGCTGGTCAGTGTGATCTGGGAAAAACTGAAAATCTTTCATCAACTGAAGGCTATGAAGTTTCATAACTGGAGGTTATATACCTGAAGAGGGAGGGGCATAGATATCACTGAGTCTTATTAAGCCAATCCATGCTAGGGAAAGAGAGGCCACCACTGCCCCATGTCCTCCAATAACTAAGCGTTTTAGCAAGAAGCAATGGAACATAGGGGAAGCTTGTAGTGGTATCAGACTGGGTTCAAATCCCACTTTGATCATTTATTAGCTGTGTAACCTTAGACAAATCACAGCCTCAATTTCTCCATCTGTCAAATGAAGTGCTGGAATGGACCCGTCCAGCTCCAGACCTGGGATACCATGAAACAATGCCTCTGTCATTCACAAGCTGGGTAACATGGCAGGTAAGCCACTTAATCTCTCTTTTCCTTATCTGTAAAACAAAGTGGTCGGAATAGGTGAGCTCTAAGATACCTTCCAGCTCTCAGTCTATGCCCCAATGACATCATCTCTGCCACTGTGCCGTCCAAAAACACCTCTCTGGATTTGTAGCCAGAGACCCTGAGGGTTCATTTGAAGGGAAATGATTTTCTCCTCTAGACCTGACCCTACTTCCTCCTACCTAACCCTTTCTCTTCTTACATTTTCTGGAAACTTCCACACCCTAGGCTTATTTTCTTTGTTTGGATTGAAGGCCAATCCCTAACACTCATGCATCCATGCATCCATCCCTATGACATCAGAGGTGAGAACCAGACACACTTGAGTGAGAACTTGCCCTCTCCTACCCTGATGTGGAAGAGATGAGAGCCCCTGGCATTTCACAGACTGAACAGAGAGAGAAGGGGATGGGGAGTGGGGAAGCCATTCCAGAGGACCATCACTCACCCCCTGATCCTCTTCCTGCCACGGCCTGACAATCACCGCCCCCAAGGCCCAGCAACAACATTGAGATCCAGCTGCACCTTAACTCCCAATGCCATGTCTTCCAGGGTCCCATCCCAAAGAGTCTCAATTTAAGCCCAAGGCTTAAAACTTGCGATAACCAATGACTCTCATGCAAAAGCCTGACTCTCATGTGAAAATTCTCTCTAAGATCATTTAAAAGTGCTGAAAGGAAATAGACTGCCAGGGAAACTGAGCAAGCTCTTTGGGACACATGGGCCTAAGGGTCTGAGAGGGGGTATATTCCAAGGCAATCCACTTTATGTGAATGAGGGTTGCCCAAGGGCTCCACCTGCCTCTTGGACCAGGGAACTCCCAAGGGCAGGGGGTTCCCACAGCTTCTCATTATTTTAAACCTCCCACTAGTAAACAGCACAGGGCAAGGATTTAAGGGGCTTTAGAGATCATTTAGTCCAGTTCCTAAATTGTGCAGATGATAAAACTGAGGCTCAGAAAAGTTAAGCAACTCACCCCAAGTGCCTGGGGTAGAATTTAAAACTAGGCCTTCCTAATGCCAAGGCCCAGCATTTCATCCTCTACATCATGCAACCTCACATTGAAATGAGAGTATGGCCTCCCAAAATGACTTCTTTGAAAGGGTCGGCACCCCACTGGATATCTATTCTAACAGGCTTAGTGGCCCAGTAAATAAGAGTGCCGAGCCTAGAGTCATGAAGACCCAGATGCAAATCCAGCTTCGGACACTTACTAGCTGTGTGATCCAAGGCAAGTCACTTAATCTCTGTTTGCCTCAGTTTCCTCACCTGCAAAATGGGGGTAATAATAGTACATAGTCAATGAACATTTACTATGTGCCAGACACTGTGCTGAGTGCTAAAATTACAAAGAAAGGCAAAAGATAGTCCCTGTTCTCCCAGGGCTGTGGTGAGGATGAAATGAGATATCTGTAAAGTGCTTTGCACACCTCAAAGTGCTATATAAAAACCAGATGCCATTGTTATTAACAATCAATCAATTCACTTTGCCATCACATCTTGAAGGCTCACTCTTTATCCCACACTTCCTGGACTTGGGGGAATCCAAACCAATTCCCCCTTGGCTCTTTAGGGGTGGGAGCCGTTCCCCATCCTTGGTTTTTACAGAGAAATTTCTCAGTCCCAAAAGAGAGGGAATCTCTTGAGCTGAGATTAACATCTGTGGAAAACCACACAGTTTATAAGCAACCCTAGATGGCTCACAGCCCATGAGTCACTGAGATTCCCCAGGAGCGAGGAAAAGACAAGACGGTCAGAAGGGCCACCAGGAGTGCATCTTGGTGTCATTAAATTAAATCTATTGACTTCACAGCCCATTTGCTGGATTTCCATGCTATGAGATTCCTGAACCACAGTGGGATGGTGCAAACAAAGACCTCTCTCTCCTTGTCTTGGGTTATAGGAATGTTGATTATTTGGCTGGTGGGTCGTGGGTCAGGGATAAAGAGTGAGCCAGAATGTTAACTCAACGGTCTTCCTGCTAAAAAAAAGGTCCGGGGAGAAGGATATTAGGATGTATTTGTCTACAGAAGCTAGCAAGAAAAGGGATTGCAAGCCTCTAAGTTCAGGTTCTGACCTTGGCTTGGCCAGTGATCTCTCATTTGACCAGATCCAGGTGACTTTGCCCTTCATTTTCCCATCTAAAAAATGAGTGTCCTCCTCCTAATTCTTACCTCTTAGTAGGTAACTAACAGGAAGGGCAGAGGGCAAGACTCTAGGAAGAAGAAAGAGTAGGATCATAGACCTAGAGCTGGAAG